TCATTTGCTCTTGTCGTTTTTGTGCCATTGGGATGGTCATTGTTTTGTCATTCTGCATTTGGTTAACGTTAACACTGTCATTTTGGTGTCATTTGTTTTTTCATTTTGGTGTCGTTTTTGTTCGTCGTTTTGGTGTCGTGGGTTTTTGCAATTTTGGAGTCATTTTTTGTCATGATGGAGTCATTTTTTGTCATTCTGGAAGCATTTTTTGGGCACTGGTGTCGTTTTTTGTAATTTTGGTGGGGCGCGGAGGGAGGGAGGAAGGGTGGGGCAGGGCACCAAACCGAAATTTGCACATTTCCCGAGGCATTGTCATTTTTTGTCATGTTGGTGCCATTTTTTATATCATTTACGTGGGCGTGGGGCGCGGAGGGAGGAAGGGCGAATGACAGAAACGACTAATTAAAAAATGACAAACGGAAAAACCACCACCAAATGACAAATACATGCCAACATAACTATTCGATGAAATCCAACGTCCAGAGGCCAGAAATATTTACAAGGAGCCATAAATAAGCTCATCCCAGAGATCGCGACACTTTGACGAGCGCCGCGAGTGTGACTGCAAGACCGTCCTCATCCTCGCTTTCGAGGAGGACCTCAACCAGGCCCACATCGTCAAGGTCTTACAGTTGTCCGGTGGAAAACTGCGTGCACGCTGGGCGGGGGGCTACCTCACTCGGACGGTTGAGCTAATGGGCAACATCGGCGAGCTCGCAAGCTTTGCACTACGGAGAGTGGGGGAACCGACTCCTCCTTCCTTTTTCGGGTTTCGCCAGCCCAAAGGTGACGTGGGGCGGGGAGTAAGCGACAAAGGCGGTCCAAGACAGCATGCGTTGTGGGGCTCGTGACATGTAAGCCAACCTCGACCGTGACGAGTATGCCAACCTCTTGAACTATTGAATGAGCAGTGAGCGCTAATTAGTTTTGCCTGCAAGTTTTGTCTGCATTGCCTGTATCAAACTCCGTTTGGTGCCAACTCTTTAACGGGGGCTGTGACCATGTTCATAGGCTCCACAGCTACCTTGTTTTACTTCTTTTGCTTTTGATGTCGGGAGAGCCTGCAACCCGAACCGCCCGCTCAATCTTTTTCAATGGCCTGTTTCGACACTGCCCTACACTCGAATCGTTTTAGCAAGCGGCCCCCCCAAGGAAGCCACATTCAATGACTTGTAATCTGCAGTAGCAGTTGGAGCCGCAAGCTTCTTCACTCAAGCCAGGCCAAACTCGCTCCTTGCATGTTTGACTTTCAATCCTTGTCCGGGGGAAGAGCTAAATTTAAACCGACGAACGACTGTTTCTCAAAGCCCTTCACATTTCTCCGGGGGAATGTTCCTCAGCGCTTGTGCTCCGTTTACTATCGTGCACTTTGCCTTTGCCAAACAGTTGAGGAACATTGCTTGGGGGGATATATATATATATATATATATGTCGCTGAGAGCATATGCGCGTCCTTCGTTAGTTATCGCATACTTTATGGCCTTAGCCATTGGATTCTCTATATTTTTTCTCACTCCCCGTATCCCAATCAAGGTATTGGGTGGGCTGGAAGCCCGGGGACTTTGACCGGTCACCAAGCCCAGGAGAGAGAGAGAGAGAGAGAGATTTTCGGTGTATTCCTATGCAAAGTGCGGTATTACCCAATTATGCTAAGTTGGTGTCATCACTCATGCTGTGCTGCGGGAGATTTTTGAGACACCCTGGCCTTAAACCGGGCCTAGGGTATCATCGTCGATTCGAAATCAAACCAGGAGCAAGGAATGTAATGCAAAGACGGTTCATGGTTTAGGGGTTCAAGGTGTTCGGTCTAGGTCCGTCTATGTGTGCAGACTTCAAGTGACCGGTTTGCTTCCTGCAGTAGCATTCGGTAGCATGCCTATATAAGTTCGCCTGCACTATGACAGACAGTCCATGTGCAACTGCAACAAGCAGGTGTAAGGTCTGAAGCATGGATGTGCGTCGCCCCGATCGTTTTCAATCCCTTGCTTGGAGGTTGATGGGTAAGGATCAGGGTCTGTAAGTATGTACATATATATATATATATATATTATACCTTAGTTGGGGATAGAAATAGGTGTTGCAATACTATGGTCACCTTGCGTATGGTGTCCATACCTGATCCTTTGAGTAAACGCATATCGCAGGAGGCACGGACGATCTATCCCAGCCGCTGCAGCTCTATGGGCCAGCCGGGCGCGAGGACCCAAAACGATCATGCCGGGTGGTTGCGATGAAGGTCCCTTTGCCTTGGGGACCATGAGGCTGCAATTTTTGAGAATGGCAATAGCTATTCTAACCAGCAGGCAGCCTACCTTATGGGTGTTTGGAGGTTCAGGTGCAAAGGACTACCATGTGCAGGTTTAGGGGTTCGTGTTCGACCTGCAGGGCTGAGCGTACTAGTACTATTATTGTTCCAGATATTCCAGGCTTAGCGTTGAGAGGATTTCTTCTGGCTGCGCGTTGGGAAACTCTGTTTGAGAGTTTCTTTTGCACTTTTTTGAAGAGGTGCCGGATCTCTTGTTGAGATTCGTAGGTCCCGCGACCACTGATTCAGGAGGGGGCATGAAGGACGCGACGCCCAGGCTTGGAATATGCTGATGTTTGGGGCCGTCTCGTGAGGATTCCAGACTCCTTCCCGCCGCTGCCCAGCCCCTGCCGTGGCAGCTGGCAGTCACTCCGGCGCTCAAAGAGTACTGGCAAAAAGTGGAACGATTGTATTTAACAGGGTAAGAAGCATCGTCTTCATCAGCGACTTGATCAGAAATAATGTAGTCGTATATGACGGTCCGAGTGATGCAGAGCAACGGGTTGAAGTACGTGGTATTTGTACGTGGGTTTCTGTACTAGTACTAGCCACTATGACACCAGCACATTAGGTTTCGAATTGTGCCCAGGTGCTCAGGGGCTTCTTCTTTTCTGTCGCCGTCTGTTTCTGTTCAAGCAATAGCCTTGCGTTCATCAGACGTTGTTTTCCGACAACTATGGCCATCATCATAGAGGCCAAGGACATCACAATTTGCATGTTCAAGCTGCCTTAAGCCGTCGGAGATGGAAGTTTCACAGAGCCCCAAAACTCAATCCCGGTGGTCTTCATAAGTCAACCTCCATGACCCCGCCCCCCCGCCCATGTCTCTCGGCCCTGACTAGATCATATAGACCCTTAGGGTGGGGGGATGGGGGGGTAGGGGACTAGACTTCATCAACCAGGCCTTGTTAAGTCCTTTTTATAGGCTTTGGATCTTCAAAAGCACCCTTGATAAACACCCATATTTCTCGTAAAGCGCACAACTAAACCCAAACCCCAAATCCTAGTCCTAAACCTTGAAAGCAGAGCACCAAGGTATGGGCAGGGCAACCCTCAGAGTTTTCAGAGCAGCTTTCCGAGCTTCAGCCTCTCGCGACCGCCCCCGAGTCCCCAAAGGCTGGTTTGGAGGGCCTCTCCATGGCTGCTATGGTTCCGGGAGTTTAGGAGTTTAGGGTGTGGGATTTACGAGTTTAAGGTGTGGGATTTAGGGTGTAGGATTTAGGAGTTTAGGGTGTGGGATTTAGGGTTCAGGGTGTAGAATTCAGGGTTTAGGGTGTAGGATTTAGGGTTTAGGGTTCAAGGGCTTTGGGGTTCAATGCAGGGGGAAAGAGATACAGAGGTGTTCAGGGTTTAAGGTTTGCCGGGCAAGTTTTCGCATGCTTTGTACTCTGGGAAGTTTGATCGATACCTCGTCGGTTGAAAACGCAAGATTCGATCCATCAACAAGGGGGCAGGATACCACAAGCAGCACCTCCGCTTAAACTGTCTGGCAGGTAGAACCCGTCCAGATGTTGCTTACAGAGCATGCCAACAGTCTGGGTTGGGGGTGTAGTTCTCGGGTCTGCAGGCCTTTCGGGTTAGAACTAAGCGGGCTTCGGGATTCCTTTACGGAGTCGAGTGGTGGAGCTGAGCTGAGCTGCCCTTGTAGGCCCTCGCTACGCTATCATCACAAGTAAGTACGCGACGGGTCTTCCCTCGTCGACGCCATCTCGTACAGGAGCGTTTACGTAGAGCTTGTTTCTACCGACAAGTATCCTGTATGTGTGTATGCTGTCGGTTCGCTTGCTAGCTGACGCCACCTCGGGTTTGATCTCATGTGTGGTTTTCTCGAGGTTGAGGCTTGGCTAAGCTTGCTGCATTGCGCGGTGCAGCTTAGTGTATAGTGGTTTTTCAATGTACGATAGTCGCTAGGTCTCTGTATCTTGTGACCACTCTGCTGCCGCCGTTGTCGACTTTGCCTCCCTTTTTCTCTTCCGTGAGCTACTCTGCTCGCCAGGGCCTCCCAGGACCTGAGGCGGCCTCTCACGAGCCCTCCTGAAAACCGATTGTTGGCAAGCTAGCTGTCATACCATCACTACTAGAGGCATGTCAGGGCTTGCAGCCAAGATGGTGAGCGGATTAGGAACCGAAGCAGCCTGCAGAACAAGCTTGAAGTGATCCCAAGCACCGTCAGGAATGGCTCGTGCCCGTGTCCCAGCTTCGGCAGCTCAGCTGGATAAAATCGCCACCACTACCAACAGCAGCAACCAAAACAACAGCAACAGCAACAACAGCACCACAAACAGCAGCAGCAGCAGCAACACCAACGACAACACGAACACGAGCACGAGCACCAACACTAACACGAGCACAAACACTAACAGCAGCAGCAGCAGCTGCGGCGGCGGCAACCGCAACAACACCAGCAGCAGCGCCAACAACAGCAGCAACAGGAGCCCCATCAGCAACAAGAACAGCAATAACTAACCACACAAGCTATTTACAACAAACATAACAACGTTAGTTGGGGTGGTCATGTCCCGTTATCTTGCCGTCAAAGAAGACTAGGGCGTAAGATGTACAGCGGGGTCAGAATGAAGAGTTCGAAGCTCGATTGTATGGAAAAGTCAGAGACCTGCCGCTGGTCCGAGGCGATGGTAAAGGTTTGGATTCCTTCTGGTCCTTCAACTCCCGGCACACCATCGCGTCCAAGCCGATGAAGAACCTCACCCCACCAGGGCTCATAGCAACCGGGATACCTTGGTTAGAGTATGGCCCTGGCCAAGCCACTTTGCAAAGCCCCTTTGCTTCTCCACGCAGCCGCAGCCCCTCGCCTGTCCCGCACGCGGCCCCGGCACTCCCAGCACCTCTGCGAATGGAGCGCGGTCGGCCGCTAACTCTCCCGACAGCCGGAGGTCCCCCCAGCCCTGGCCCTAGCCCTCTAAGCCCTCTCAGCCCTTTGAGGCCCGTGAGGCCAGTCAGCCCCAATCACCTGGCCGGATCTTGGCCATCAGCTCCAAACCCAGCTTGCCAAGTGCACCCCCCCATCGTGACAAGAACAGTTAGCCAAGCCACCTCTGTACCAGCACCGATTCCCATAGCCCCCTCATCAGAAGCGACGCAAACTGCTCGCAGCAACATCAGCCGCATGACAACGAACCCCTGTGTGGGCCGAGTGGTTTACTTGCCTCCCATCACCATTCCGCCTTCGGGACAGCCGGGCCAGACAGAGACTCGGATATGACGTGCTGCACGTGTTTTTGCATTTTCGGGATCCGGTTTCCTGACAAGTTTCTTTAGTAGTTAGGTTATTCTTGAGCGTTTAGGCTCTTCTTCTCTTGAAGTCTTGCGCGACTTCAAAAACCAGGAGACGCCGGCCAGCCGAAGCCGATCCATCTCGCCGCTCAGATCGCCAACTCCAGGAATCGCGCAGGCTCCGAGGATCATCAACGACGTCGTGATCCCGGGCATGACCAGCCTGAGAGGAAGTGTGGAGGAGACTCCTCACATTGGCTTAGGGGTGTAATTGTGGCGTAAAGGCCACAAAGCTTTTTCGATTAAGGATAGTACTGAACCGTAGTTAAAGCTAAAGCCGGCGGGGAACCCCGAGAATCCTGGCAGTAGTAGGGCCCGCAGATGATCGAAAGTTGTCTTGCAGAGCCTTCCCGAAACCGACATAAACTTAAAGACTTAGTCTTTGGTTTAAGTAATTATGATTCAGTGTGATAGCTGTTGAAATAGTGCAGCTGATCCTCCTCCTCCTCGTCCTCCTCCTGCTCCTTCTCCTCCTCATTACAACAACAGCGACTGCTACTTCTCCTATCCTCGCAACAATGATAACCTGATTAGTAGTGATAGTGAGTACTCTCATGACAGCAGCAAGTAGCAGTAACGACAACGGATTCATAGTGATAGTGAAGCAAGTATAGCAGCCGTGCAAGGTTTGGTTTGTCTTTGGTCACCCTGTTGTCCTGCAGAGGAGAAGCTGTACGATGCAGCAGCCACTTGCCTGCATGCGCCAGGGATGTTGTGCCGAAGTGGTTCGACCCTGGCAGCAGGCTTTGAGAGACTGATGGGCCCCGGAAGCAGAGAGTCCTCTGCGGCAAGAAGTGTCAAACCACCTTATTTGTGAGGGATCCTGCTCTTTAGGGCCATATTGCACAGGATCCATACCCAGAGGAACGACGAGATGCCTCATACCTTGTACCTTGCGCCTCCAGAGAAAACCCCAAACCCAGACGCAGAACAATCCTTGCTCCGGAGGCCCTTTAAAGGATGCAAGACGTGGATCCTTGCAAAAGGTCCCGAAGCCTGCAACCCGAACGAATCTGTGCTTTCGATCCTGTAATCACCCTGCTAGGTCGAGGATCCTCTGCCGACGACAGAAGTGAGGCTTTTGATCTTGAGCCGGCTGTACATGTTTATGTGGTTCTTCTCTTTCGGGGGGGTTAGAGTCTACAGTGGAGCTTATGTGTTCTGCGCTTATTTTGTGTTAAGGCTGGCTCCCCGACCGAAGCCTGAGTTTCGAGGTGAGTAGAGAAGAGCTGAGGGGGGGGGGTGAGGATGGAGGGTTGCGAGTCAAGAACGGACCAAAGGGCCGGTGACTGGCGAGCTTGCCAAAGTACTGCCTTCAAGTCTCTGCTTACTTCAGTACGATCTTATTCTGGTCTGGTCCCTCGCATAGGGTGCACTTTGCGGCCCTTCTACAGGCTGTCCTCGCTGCCGAAGCCCAATTCCATGCCAGGCGCGTCAGGGCTGCGGAGGGTTTAAGGTTTGCTCTCTTAGCGGGTCGAGTCTGGGGTTTGAGTCTTCATCATTTATCAGTTCCATCATTGTTGCTACGACTAGTAAAGTCCTGCATTCTTGAATATTGGGAAGCAGCCGCCTCTGGATGTAGAAGCCATGGGGTACGGATGAAGCTGCAGCAGACGTGGCTTGCATACATCAGAGTCCTTGGGCCCAGCATGTCCATATGTTGGGATGTGAACCGAGGTACATGCAGTTCTCTCAGCTCTGAAGAAGAAATTACCGATGGTTTCAGATCCTTTCAGACCCAGGGAAGCGGAAACCCTCTCTTAAAATCTTTTAAAGCACTTCGCTGCAGAGGCTCTGACACCAGCACTGACGCGCCGGGACACACGCGTGGGCCTGACCTCTTCCTTCGCGTGGTGGAATTCAGGTTTGAGTGTCTGGTCTTGGGTGGGATTTTCGGCATACCCTAATACAGTACCCTGAATAGTAAGATCCTTATTATAAGGACCCCATTCTAAGGTACCCCCAATTATGGTTCTGTTGCTCTTCTGTTAGAGCTAACCTTGCGCAAGCCTCGTAACATCATCGAATCTCGGACAGCAAGCGCGATCTGAACTCTCCACCAGGGCTTGTAGGGTTTAGCGTTAAGGGCAGTGCCAGTGTGTTCGGTGTTCACAACCCTCCGACATGAAGATTCGAGGTGTCGCGGGTTTCCATTCCTGCACCTGATGCCCAGCACCTTCGAAATTGATTGAAGTGTTTGGTTTTAGGCGAGTGGGACAAACCTGAAAATCATGTTTCTGGGACTCAGATGGTATTAATTCTTGTGACTGCACATAGCATAGCTATAACATTCGCAGTGCAGTGGTCCCCCAGCATTGATGACAGGGTAGATTTTGTAGCCTCGTCGTCTCAAAAGTTCATGGTGCACAGTGCACAGAGTGAAGCCGTTAAGCTCCATATCTATATATCCTCATCCTTTACTGTTGAGGGCTTAGCCCCTTAAACCCGGAACTCTCGACCCTACACCCCCTGTATACAGGGCCCAGGGCCTGGATACACCAGAAGTGATCCTATGCCAAGGCCTCCCGCTCCTGCGCTGAGGGGCATCACCAAGGTGTCTGGCATCTGGAAAATTGTCCTGTTTATCTGATTTTCTTCTGATCTGGCTGTACAAGAGCTAGCATTATATCAGTAGTTACTACTATCAGTACTATTTCGTGTTGCGTTTAGTTTAGTATTGCTGGTATTTCTGTAACAAAAAAAGTTGTCCTCTTCCCTTTCGCTACTTCATCCCCAGGTGTTTCGACGAGGCCTCCATCCCGGAGAACGAGCAGGGGACTCGGAGTCCCAAGATAATTCAAAAACCCTTACGAGAAATCTCGGAATCCCTAAATCCTAAACCAAACTCCTCATCCCGGAAACCCTGAAGCCTTCAAGCCCTCAAGCCTTAAAGCCCCCTAAAGCCCTAAGCCCTGCACACCCTAAAGCCCCAAAGCAAAAGTTCCTTAGTGGCGAGGCCCAAGTCGAATCGCTGCTCTTGCCGGCGGGGGAGAGCGAGCTGCGCCATGCAGCGTATCAGGACTTGAGGGTTGGATTCAGGGTTCAGGGAAGCCTCGGATTTAGGGGTTTAGGGTTTAGGTATCGGCACTAACTTGAGGGTTCGGGGCGATGCAGGTGGCATTCAAGGCTGTGGGGTTCTGGGGTTTCGTTTCAGATTGGGCTTTGGGGCTTGAGGGTGTAAAGGTTGAGGCTTTCAGGGCTTGGGAGTCGGGTTTTGGCATTTCGGGTTTGGGGCTCCTCGTGGGGTTACTCTACAGGGTCTAAGTTTAAGGCTGAGGGATTTGGTCTACTCCTTCGGTATAGGCCCGGGCTCTGGGGTGTTGGATCTTAGGCTTACGGCCTTGGCTTGGCTTTGGGGGTTTTGGTGTAGTGCTTTTCTCGGGGTTTCGAGTGTGGGCTTCAGCTTAGGGGTTCATGAGGTTTGGGGTCGAGGTTTGCTTCTGTTAACTGTTTAGTCTTCAGTAAGGCAGCCTTGTGCAATCCACACAAAACCGTATTAACCAGGTAACAGTATCGAAACCCCTACAAGTTCATGCAGCAGCCTGAAATCCACTTGATTCCTCAGCCCTTAAGTGCATATGACCCTGAAGTAGGCACTGACTCAACTCCACCCTTCAACCCTAAATTCCGAACCTAGAACCCCCCCTAAACCCTGCCTGTGATAAACCCTTAAACTCTGAAACTGATCACAGCCCCCGAAACCCCAAACCCTATAAACCCTAGTCACTAAGACAAACCCGTCAAACTCCACGGAGGAGTTCCGATGGGCCTTGGAAAGCGGTGGCCGGGCGAGAGGGGAAACGATCGATCTCCCGGCAGCGCTGACGGTACGCCCCAGGGACACCAAAGTTCACGAGTTTAAGGTTCGAGGTTTGGGGTTTAGGAAAGCCTAAACCTTCAACCCGGAAGCCCAACGAAGCCGAAGAGGTTGATGAGCTTAATGAGTTATGCTTACGGATTTGGTAGGGGTTTGGGATTTGGAGTTTTGGGGGGTCGGTCAGTAAAGGAATTTCAGACTGACAGGCCGAGCCCGGGGCGGGGGGGGGGTTCGGGGGCGGGCGTCTAAGCCGTCTGACATCTGAAGGGATATGGGGAAGGCCGTTGAACAAAGCTCGGGCAGATCGGAGATGAGCAACTTCCCCGCAGTGCGTTCTTGGCTCTCAGCCTGCTTGTCCTTCCGCCTCCTCGCCTTCTTTTCGACTTCGCCTCGATGTCCGTGATGCGTGTGCTCCTCTTTGTGCTCCCCCTGGTGGCAGCCGAGCCCCAGTCCCTTCGCGGAGCCTTTGACGAGGTGGCCTGCACTGGCAGCGGAGGCCTGGCAGAGAACAGTCCGTCCTGCTATGGTGGCCAATTCCTGGTCGAGAAATTCTCGCTCCATGTCCTGAGCTATGATGGCTCCACCGGCATTGTCGACATGAAGGCAGAAGGCCCCCAGTCGGCCGAGTGTGATGGTGCAGAATTCCAGAGCGACGACAACATGATCACCATCGAGAATGATCAGGGATGTGGCTTGAGCAACTACGAGTACACCGTGAGGTACTGCCCGGATCAGGACCATGCCTCTTGACGTCAGCCAGAGTGACATTGATTCACAGACCCGTGAACTAACTAGCAAGGGCACGAGCACTTTGCACATGACAGTATGAAAGTTAGCTGCAGTGCCAATAATACATTTTCCAGAAATGGTACTCTGTCTCGTGCTCAGTCCTGGATGCCGAGGTCATCGTAAACCTGGTGAAGCCCTACAACGCGCGCGTTGTCTTGCAGAGCCAGACCTGCCCTACCGCCGGTGAGGTCTGAGAGCCCTCTTTTGACAAGCTGTGCCGAAGGTGCACAGGGAAATAATTCAAACCGGAAGTGCCGGCTAAGTCCTCGGCTGTAATTCAGAAGGCCTTTTGCACCCAATTCCTTGGAGCTCACGGGGCGTACAAAGCCCAGATGGAGTGACAGGATGTGTATCGCGACTATGAAACTTCATTGCTGAGGTCCGGCAAAATCCGGGCTGCCACGGAACTGGGGCCGGGAGGGTTCTAGGAGGAGAATGCTATGCTAATACCAATGCTTCAGTTACTGCGCTTGCTGCTGTCGACCAATGCTTCAGTTACTGCTCTTGCTGTTGTCGATAATGATAATGATGATTGTAACAATGATAATGATGTTGGCGAAGAGGATGATGATGAGTGACGCTGATGCAGCTACCTTGGTAATGGTTGTGACAGCGAGAACTTGACAATGAAGAAGCAGGTGGCAGCCATGATGATTATGTCATGATGGTGAGGGGGCAGAAGGGGTTTGCTGGTTGCGAGTGTGATGCAACTTGCGTTCTGCCTGTGTTTTCACATCGCTTTTCCACCATCAGGCCATTCTTGTGAAAAGTCTGGTCGCGGGTGATGGTGTAACTTCGATGACTATGCAAGTTCCGAATTCTCAGATCTGCTGCCCTTCTCTTTTTGCTCACTGGCCCGACAACTAGGTTCTGGCTTCTGAGAACCGAAACGGTGCAGGGTTCTGTGGTTGCAAGGCCATTCGGCAGCTGGCATACCTTTATGGACTGCCTGCTCTTGATCCCGACGCTGCGCAGAGGACGCAGCATGTGAAGGGTCAGCCTCCACTTTGAACTCTGAATCCTAGTGTTGCAAGTGCCTACGTAGTGAGTATCTGTGGCGCACTAATTCTCTACCAAGCAGCCTTCTGGGCATGACGATCCATTCTGGTTTCCAAAAGAGTCAGAGTACGTCACGTCATTCAACCCCAGTACTCTAGAGGTTCAGCCAGGGGCAGACAACGAAGCGAGGGAGCCACCCTGGCACAGTCTCCCCTGAATGAACTTCGACAGCTGGATCCCTTACGCCCGGACTTGTGCAAGGCTTCTCAATCTAGGGTTTTACGTCAAGGGTTCTGGTCACTGGGGGGCCACGGAATTCGTGTTATGGGGATTCGGGGTTAGTGTTTCAGAGATTCCTCTCGCAACAAGTGCTTTTCCTGCGAGCTGCGCAATTCCTGAGCCCCCAACAAGCTCCCGAATCCCCTAGAACTATGGAGCTCTACACCCAGAACCCCTAAACCCTCAACCGTACAGCCGGAGCTCTGACCTTTGAATTGAAGCCCTGAACGAAGCACGCAGGCCCTGAACCTAAGCCATTCCTACTCCCAGGATTTTTGGTTCCGTGGCTGCCGTCGACCGACCGACCTTTGAGGTGCTTCCTGCAGCATGCCAAGAGCCTAAAGTGGGGGCTTTGATGGTTATGAGGAGTGTTTTACCAGGGTATAGTGCCGGGGCTTTGATGACTAGAATAGGGTGGTTTGATAGGGTTTGTAGAGCTTGATACGGTTGAACTCAGGGGCCTTGACAACCAGAACAGGGCTTGGGGCGTGTTATGCTGCCGTTATGTGTGAAACTTAAGGAATCTTTGTTTAAGTGTTGAGGCCCGTGCAGTGGACAGGTTTCAACGTCTTGGATTCGGGTGTACTTGGGTGTCTAAGGTTTGGTTTTAGGGGCCGGGGTTGTGGGTTTAGGGTCATATAACGTTGGCTACTAGTTGGTAGTAAGACTGTTGCGCAGAGTCTCTCTTCATCTTGTCTTAGCAAGTGCTACCAGGCTTGTTACTAGCAGCTCTGTTCTTTGCATCGTTACTTCGCAAGCAATGTCACAATGTCTCTGATAATCGTTTTGGATCCCAAGATGTTGTGCAAGGAGCCGGGGCTTGGGTTCAGGGTTTCAGGGGGTTAAGGTTTTGATGTTACGGAGCTTTCATTGTTTTGGAAGGGCGGGGCCTCTGCTTCAGCCGCTACCACTGCAATCTTGATTAAGTTCATTCGTTTACTTGCCCTGTGTTTAGTACCTGGGTGTGTAGGTCCTCCTCCTTAGCCTCAGCCAGCTGCACTGTTGTGCTCGTTGCAAGAACCCGACATGACGAAGTATGGCCAAACTGAAGAGAAGTACTAGCCATGGGAGCATTGCGAAGAACCAAGCCCGAACGTAACAGTCGGCACATTGATGATAGATTGACCGGTCATGATGAGAACGAGTGGGGCAACGGTAAAGTCGACCACACGGTCGTGAGTAGCTTCCATCTAGCATGGCAGATTGCATTGACTGCAGTAAACCAGGGCGGCCATCTGTTGATACAACTTAGAATCAGCAGAAACAAGGTGATCATCAGGCATGATACGGGTAGTTTGGGGCTTGCAATCCTCCCTAAACCCTGAATCCTATACCCTAAACCCGTCCTAGTCGTGCCATGACGGACAGGCCGCCCTACCCAGCTTGCTGAGAGCTGCACTACAAGACCAAAGCCGCTGATGTGCAGCCCGCGTTCCGCATGCTAGTGCACTCCAGTACATATCACATATGTACTTCGGCCATTGTAGAGTCTATAGAGCATATCCATCTTACATATTCTGCTCAAATCACACCTCCATAATCAGTAAACTTCGCAGTTCGACGCTTGTAGCTCCTGTCCTGTGCTAGGCTTGGATTCCCCACCTTCAGCAGGACGGACACAATTCTCGTCCTCATGGCTCGAAGCATCCAAGTCTCAATACACCTTCAATGGTTTCGGCAATCCTTGAAAGTACACCCTAAAGGATCAGTAGCAGTAGCATTAGAAGCACAAGTTCATTGCTCGCGGTAGGCATGACGGCGGACATCTTAGAAATGCACAAATTCAAGGAGTTTACTTGCAGGCACATCTGCAGAGGTTCTGAAGCCAGAAAACTGTATGTCCCAGTTTCCTTTGGACGAACCTATGCCTTGTTTCGATAGGCTGCCAATATGTGCCTGGAGTCAGGTTGTATGTCTGGTGAATTCAAGCTCTTCTGCCAACGCTGCGGATGAACCAACAAGGCGTCCTGCATCAGACAGGACATTTATGCCTCGGCGGCTTTAGAGAAAAAGCTTCCAGCCTCCGGCCACCACGTGAGTTTCAACAAGTTTGTCGCGATGAGACTTCGTCCGAATCTGTTTTGCTCAATTCATCGTTATCCAAGAGGAACAGACCTCACGTCTGGCACTGTAGCTAAACCTCAATGGTTAAGGCCAGTCAGAGCCGTGATGCACCAAAACCACAACCCGAAACCCAGAACCCCAACACCCATAGGGCCTGAGCCCTCACTTAGCGTCCGGTCCAACACCCAATTAAAAACCTTCACTTCCGAACCATTCCAACAACCCTCCAGCGTCGGGGCCGACTGCGACGGCAGAGGTTGGGATCTGATCCAGGAAGTCTTCTTGCGGATTTTGCTGCTACTGCTGGTTGACAAAAGTTGCCTTAACCACAGCAATGACCTACAGGTAGTTCTCATTGTTTAGTTTGCATGCAGGTTTCTGTCAGTAAGCAGTACGCTCGGTCAGGGGTATTGCGCAGATGTGTATGTGTATGTATGCATGTATGTAAGTACGTAGGTATGTATGCCTGTATGCATGTATGTCTGCATGTCTGTATTTATGTATGCATGTATTTGTGTGTGTGTGTGTATGCGCGTGAGCATGTAAGCATGCAAGTATGAATGAATGAATGGATGAAAGGATGAGTGGATGCATGGATGGATGGATGGATGGATGGATGGATGGATGGATGGATGGATTATTGCATGCATGCATGCATGTATGTATGTATGATTCATATATGATGACTGAATGAATGGAATGAAATGAATGAATGAATGAATGGATGAATGGATGAATGGATGAATGGATGAATGGATGAATGGATGAGTGGATGAGTGGATGAATGAATGAATGAATGAATGAATGAAGCAATGAACTAATGAATATCTGAATGGATGACTGACTGACTGACTGAGCACATGAATGCATGCACGCATGAACGAAGGAATGAATGGATGTCATGAACTGACATGCAATCAAACGACATAACTGTGACATAACATAAACAACTGAATGAATGGATGAATGGATGAATGCATGTGTAATGTATGCGTCATGCTTGCATGCATGCATGGATTCGTGCATGTATAAATGGATGGATGCATGTATGTAGGGAATGTGTGTAATGTATTTGCAGCTTATGTGTAGCACCAGTGTAGCACATGAATGTGTAATGCATGACTAATGCGATGCACTGCAATGTAATGCCACGTAATTTCGTGCAAATACATACTCGGTATACGGGTTTTATATCGTACTGTATGTACTTATGCTCCGGTTTATATGAACGGGTATGAACTTTCGATGTTTTCAGTGGTCCTGCTGCAGCCTTTGCTTTTTGATGTATGCTGCCGACCTTCATTCATCCTCGAAAGTGCACAAACCCGACACATCCCTAAATCCCCAAAGCCCCTCACCCTTGAGGCTAGCAAGCTTTCCGGCCATGCTCATAGCCTGCAACCACTGACAAAGCCCTCAGCCGTAGACCCCCTAAACCCGAAACCTAAACCCTAAACCTAAACCCCCTAATTAAACCCCCCTCAAATGCTCGTCTGCACTTTGCCGCGAAGCTCAGGCCGAAGGATGTTGCGGCTCCAGCGCGGGGCCCTTGTGGGCAGTCGCCGGCTCAGCCGCGTTGACGGAGAATCCGCAGATGCAGAAGGGTTGCATCATTAATGTCACTTGAAGGGTACTGCAAAAGGTTACGATGAGGGCGCTTTCAGCGAGGGTTGGCTGGAGGTTTGCATCGGTTCAAGGACTTTGCGGGTTTTTGTTTGCGCAGGATTTGTCATTTGTGCTTCGGGGGACCCGCAAGGCATTATGTTTACATCGCCCCATGAAAGGACTATGCATGCAGATCATTATATAGCTTGGCTGTCACGTAAAGTTTGTACTTGTCGGCGTGTGTACCTGTTGAGCGGCACAGTATGGTCCAGGCGCCGCAAATCTGTCAAATCATGCGTGTGTAGAAGCGTTCCTCGATTCGGGATCAACCGACCTAGCTTGCAACGTCATATGAAGCTAGTTGCTCACTTATCCAGAATCACACAGTGACTCTCAATCCTAAAGCACCAGAGCCCTAAACACAGACATCTAAAGCCCAGAAGCCCCCGCCACTTTCAATGCAGATCGTGTTAAGTTAAACCCCAAAGCGCAAGGACAAGGAGCTCATCTGAACCCTAAACAGTGAATCGAAGACAAGGGCATCTTTGTGCAGCCCGTCCTCCCTTCCTCACTCCGGCAGGGAGCTAAGTTGGGCACCCCTCATTTGGGGATCTGTTCCCCGACTGCCCAAAGGGCCCTGGGTTGAATCTTGTCATTAAGTGCTATCGTCGGAGGATCCTGATAGTTTAAGGGATAGTCTACGTAGCCCTGGGATTCATTGATAGGGCAGGACTCCGTCTTCAGGTTTTCAGTCCTTACCATGAACACTGATTCTACTTACTGCTGGCCTCATGGAGCTTTGGGCGAGATTTTGGACGGCTTTGAGCGAGCACAGCTTGTCCTAAAAGGGTACTTTACGCTCACCGCTCACAGCTCAACCTGCTGAAACGAATCTACGATAATGAACAAGGCATCCGGCTGAAGTCGTGTGAGTCCAACAAGTTCACTGCTGAGCTGCTTAATCCGACAGCGATGGTGCTGCCCTAAACCCTAAACCCCTAAACCCAAAATCCCTAAACCCTAAACCCCTAAACCTAAACCCCTAAACCCTAAACCCTAAGCCTGGGGGCATGAAACCATGACGTTCGAGCCCGGCAAGCCTCCAACAACTTCCGCTGTGCCAAACCTTAAACTCCAAGATCCAAGACCGTCATCAACCCATTTTTTTTTTTGGGGGGGGGTTCTTTATTATCACTATATAGTATAGTATATGATAATGATCCCCAAAACCCTATATTCCCTCAAACGCCGAACCAACAGAAAGCCCTCCTTGCTTTTGCCTAGGCTGGGCAGCTGTGTGCCTTGGGGCGCGATGGCCCCGCAGGACAAGCCAGGCAGTGTGAGGGCTTAGGGAGAATTCTTTTATCATTGGGCTGATAGGGTTTATGGCCATAGTTTAGTGGGTTTAGGGTTCAGAAGGCTTGGGGGTGAAGAGGGTTTTGTGCACAGGCTGAAGGCGGCTGACGCAGGGCTTCAGGGTTCGCGGTTCTGATTACGTTTAATCGGAGAATCCCTTAATAGTACGTAGAGCTTTGTTTGTTCGGTCAAGGGTTTTGCGCTTCGCAGTCGGTTTTGCCAGTGTTCGTAAAGCATCTGTCGTTCCGCAGGGCTGGAGACATTCATTCGAGGCTGAAAGTCGGAAAGAGGGGAGAACATCATGCAGACAGGCAGACAGTGATTACAGCAGTGCTGGTGCTGGGCTCATGGCGGTGACTGTGTTGCTGCTGGTGGTGGAGGTTGTGGTGGTACTCGTTTATTGCCAATGTGCTGTCATAAAACTGAAAGTGTTGCTGCTGTTGGTTGCTACTGTCCTGTACACAGATATAAGCTTGTCATCTGCGCCAGAGCCCAACTGCCGCCAGGTTTCTGCGAAGATCAACACAGGGATTGTCCAACGCACAGGCCACCGGCGCTAGAATTATCCGTACGTGCGATCGCCGTCTTCGCTCATATTCGATAAAGGTTCAGCGCTTACTCCGGGCTTAGGGTTACAGGTTCTCAGTAGTAACAGCCTCCGACGCAACGTAGAGACTCCGAATGTTGAAGCCCCATGCCCGATCCATGCTCATCGGCCTCATTTTGTTATTCCTGCTCCTATCTCACAGCCACAGGCATCTTTGAACCCTTCCCCAAGCTTCGCCTTGATCCCAGACTTGGAATAGTAGGGTTTGGGGTCGCGCGAGGCTGTTGAAGACTTGGTCACTGCGTTTCCTGGCCGGGACCTCTCATTTTTGCCTGAGGTTCATAGCTTTGGATCAAAGCTTGACATGGTTGCGGCAATGTAATTACTTGGTTGTGCCTACTTCTCTTCGTAGTCATATGGGCGTGGTTTCACTAGTGTTCCGAAGCTTCCCGTAAACGACTAACATCAGGGTCCTGATCATCGACTTCCCAAGAAGCCCAGCAGCCGTCGTTCTTGACGGCCTCCTCTTTGAGCAGTTGTCTTCTGCGTGCGGTATCTGGGCTTTAGGGTCCTTCCTGCGAGATCTTTAGTTGGACTCCAGACTAAGACGGCTCACATGTAACACTCGGATGCAGGGGCCAAACACCATATCTGCGATAATGTCTGCCGCCTGGGATTCTCTTCCTGCAGGTAGAGCAATACTAAGAGGCCTTGCTTACTTCGTCCCGTGTCCCTGAAGAGCCTACACCCCCTCGTTCCATTGGGGTTTTGCAGAAAGTGATTTTGTTACTCGAGCGTTGCAATAAAGGGTGTCGACGAATCAGAGCTCTACACTGCTCAAGATCCCGATATTCCGATATTCTAGACTGTACTGTAGGGGCTTAAGTATAACAGGCCCCCAAACCCTATTCTAATTATTAAGGCCCCTGTATTACCCGAAGTCCTCGTCTTGCGAACAGCCTTCGCCCCCCCTCGGCGACCGAGGCCCAGCCCAAGGCATCGAGGTTGTTCTGGAGGCCGGCATTGATACCGTCCATCCACATGGGAGTTTCCGAAAATGAGGGGTCCCTAATTTTGGGGTCCTTATTACTGTTTGGGGTACTATATTTATATTGGGGCCTCCTATTTTCGGAAACTCCCACATATTCATAGTTCTAGTGATGGTTATGGATCGACATGGATCGATTCCTGGTGGGTAAGAGCAGCGAATTTCAAGGAACCCCCTTCTGGTAACAGAAGTTGGAAGCTCGCTGGAGATGACCCGTTGACGCCAGTCCGTCCAATTTAGAGGCCATCACGGTCCACCCAAAACCCCAAACCGACCCTTGACGTTCAGTTTCTGCGCGAAACCTCCAAATCCAGCACCCGTGCCCAAACTCCGCTTTCCAGGATCTGGAGCTGCCCTTCGCTTACTGGCTTTTGCCGAAGAAGAAGAAGAGCTTGCGCACGTCAATTGAGAAGGCATGCATTATTGCATCGTGCATGGTGGAGCAGGAAAGGTTCTGCTTGGGAGCACTTTGGGCTGGTAAGAAATCCTCTCTCGGAACTCTATTCACTTGACTTATCCCACGATCCGTGCATACTTGCGGTAGCAGTCACTATGCTTGCCGACATTGCGCCTTGTATGGTTGGTCAGCAATGTCTGACTTTTTGCTACATGCCACAAGCTCTGATTTTCAACTCTTCTCCGGGCCCCGTAACAACCCACAGGGACGGCGGCAGATGCATTTATACTTGTGCCCATAATTTTGTGCACATTACCCTTTTCTATACATACACACATGCACATGTCTGTGCGTAAGCTTACATACTAGTAAGTACTTGCCATGTATTTATGCGCGTAGAGACATATGATAGGCGCACCTCCCCCCCCAACAAATATTGCAATCGCACTCCCAGGCCCGAGTTAGGAGGAGAGGAGCTCTCCGAGGAGCTGCTGAATCTCAACGAGGCATGGAACCGATCTGTTCTCTTCAAGTTTCAGGGGAGGGTGTAGGGTAGGTTTTCGGGTATAGGGTATGGTGTTAAGGCCTCAGGGTTCAGAGCTTAGTGTAGGTTTTGCGGTTGAGGGTTCAGAGCAGCAGGGCTTAGAGATGTTGGGTGCCGGGCCCAAAGGACTACGACTTCCGGCTTTCAAGTTGGAGCGTCTCTCGGTTGAGTCCGCTTGAGGATTTGAGAAATCCGGTGCCTGACGCCTCCAGAAGCCGCCCTTTGCAGGGCTTCTGGGGCCCCTATCGCGACATCCCTTCCATGGCGACGGCCACAAAGAAGGAGGCCTACCGGGGATGTAGTACCCAGTGCACCATGTACCGAAACTGCTAACTAACTGAATCGAATCCTGTCACGTCGTACGGCGAAGCGGAAAATTCCAAGCTTTTCCAGTGTCAAACTTCGAACGACGTGTATACTGGGTCAAGGCAAACATCGGACCTGAACAGGACCTTGCATTGCATGCTGAACCATGATACCGATGGTCATTTTTGATTTTTCCTCTTGTTATTATTGGTGTCACATGGATTTTCAGGGATGTCCTGGTGCCATTGGCGCCACCGCGACCATGGTCACGGTTGCTAGAACATTGCTGCAGATACCATCTCCCGTTTCTTTACAGAGGCCATTGTCCTTGACGCCCTGCTAGTGCTAGTGTGAATCTGGAGCTCTTCATTCATCATTATCGCTGTCGCCTTGGTGTCTTCATACCCATGTACATTAATGTACATCTTAAGATGCACTACTACCGTCATCACAGTGATCCCCCTCATCATCGTCATGGTCGGTGTGGTTCCTGAGGAGATCTTGCAAATCGTGGAGAGCTTCGCGATGGTGAAGAGGATGCCAGGGTTTCGAGTTCTGGCCCGATCCTGCTCGAAGCAACTCGTGTAGATCGTATTGGATGTGTCGAGTGCATATTATAAGATTACTGGTGATGTTTTTTTTTTGCTGGGCATAGTTTGAAGATGGGAACTCGAATCGGCCTTCGGTACCAAAGCTTGCGGCTAGATTTTGCCGGAGCTCAAAGAGAGCTCGTTTAGGGTTTGGAGTTCAGAGTTTGCGTTTTCAAACGGCTGGTACCAGCCTTGGAGTTCTTCAGAGTCGTGCGAAGGGCTGACAGCACTGCTGCCTCACAGTCCCAACTCGACATCTGCATCGCATATCGCATGCCGTAGTTCGTCATGCAGAGCCCTCACTCTCGGCCTTCAACAATACATACAAATTCAAAGAGCCACCTCAATCCCAGACATCAACCCCACAACATCGCAGGAAGCACGTTGGGCTCTTCCAGCGCCTGACTGCCACGGTGCAGAGGAGCCGCTGTAGTGATGAACGGCCCAGGGCTTTAGTTTATGATTGGGCTTTGTGGTGTAGCTGCGGTTTAGGGTTCACTCAACAGCAGAGGTGTACAGCCCTACATATAGAGACCATTTACCGAGCCATGCCACAAACAGGAGATGTGCAGAAAGGGTTTGAAGCTGAACCTGACTGTTCCATGGTGGCTATGGTTGCATGATGGCTCATGTGACAGAGCCCACAAACGGTAACCTCGTTGCTGTCTCGGAGACTGGGCTTCTGGGGTGAGTTGGACTGCTTGCTGCACAGACCTCTCAGTTCACTTCCACTGTCCCGAAACCATATACAAGCCCCTATCGTCCCAACGCCCCAAGATAACTCCCATACCGTTCTCCAAGGCTACGACTTGGGGTCCTGAAAAGCACAAGGCAAAATTCGAGACGGTAAACCCCAAAACCCCTAAGCCCGGAAGTCTTTGGAGGAGCCTGGAGCTGTGGTCTGCAGCAGACTTCGCCCTTCTCTGCCGCTGGCCCGGGCTATCTGAAGGAACCCACAGTTCCACGTCCAGATTCAGCGTTCCCAGAAAACCTATAAGGCCTTTGGCGAAGTTAACAACCTTTATGCGCGGTAGGCTGCCGCGTTCTGGACACTTGTAAGTGGGTTGTTTCAAGGCGCAGGGAAGAGTGACGCACTATGTCGACAACTGAGTCTCTGGGGCCCTAAACCTTTAAAGTGTACCTTCTGCACGTCGAACGTTGCAGCGCCCCTGTGTCCCTACATTGCTGAGAGCGAAACCCTGTTTCTTTGAACCTTTCGCCCAGACCTTGTTGCTCGAAGGCTTCAGGTCCTTAGCCCAGAAAACGGCACAACCCAACACCACTCAACCCTAAGACCCTTGCCTGCCGCGTCTGTTGGGTAACCGGTCAGCGTCACGAGGTCGGAGCTTGGGAGAGGTGGGCTGCCTTCACGAGGCAGCTCCTTCCGGTTTTCACGCTAGCTTTGAGGGCTGGAGGCTTCCAGGGCTTGTCAGTCGTTGGCGAGGGGCTGTGATTCAGTTGGAGGTTTACACGGGGTTTGGGGGTTTGAAAAATTCAACAAGGTCTCGTGGCTTGGGCTGGGAATGAATCTACCGAGACTGTGCTTTCGTGAGTGCCGGTACCAATGCTGCTACACTGAGTCTGGCTTTCAGGTGTAAAGCTCCATAGAGCTGCACAAGAAGATCGAAATCCTCCGTCGCACAACCACAACTTGGACTGCGGATCCTAAGATGTGATTTATCGGGTTCGGGCAGCAGGACCTCTGTGTGGCGATGGCTCCGAGGGTCACGGCCACAATGTCGCTCGCTCGCAGAAAGCCGGGTTTGTAGATTCCGACCTTCGGCCATCTCTACTAACATTGGTGCAAGCTAGCATTGAAGAATATATGGAAGCTTACTAGTGAGTTCACCACAGACACTAGCATAAACTTAATCATGATGGTCGAGGTTTGTTCATGTAATGTCATGTTGTCTCGCGGTAGCAGGTAAAGGAGAAGGAGAAGAAGGAGGATACCAATCACTAGTCATCGTCGTCGCCATCCTCGGTCGTAGCAGTGTATGCCGTCGTCATAGGCAGCAGGATACGATACCTCCGGGTTCCCTAAACAAAGATTCATGTAGTCTATCACTTAGCGCCGATATTTGGACGAAGGGAGTCTTACACCTTTAGCATCTGACACTCGCAACCCGATGTCCCTAGTGCAGCTCGAGCTTCAATTCGAAGAGAGCCAGTAAGACTTCCTAGACCTCAAAAATCCTGGTTAGCCCAACAAACATACACACAAACATGTACGTGCATGCCTCCATGGACCGATGGATGGACGGACGAACGGACGGCTGGATGAATTCATGTGTATACAGTTGGTTATGATAGTTTGGTTATGCATGTGCATGCACTCTGTTACATATACACCACCATTATACACACATACATATCTGCATTATTCGTGTAGTTTCACCTGTGGCGCCGCTGTTCCAGATCGTCTTGCGAAGTCGATGACCTGGTCCTCCTCTTGGATGCCTATGCGCGGACCCGCTGCCACGCGCGGGGTCCCAGTTTTCGTGCCGTTCTGCTCCTCCGTACAAGAATAAGTGGCCAGAGCAAAACACGAATCTCTTCAGGAAGTCATCAGTGTTAGCCGATCTTCTGTGCGAGACTCTGTCAAAGCGCACACTCTGCAACAGCTCATGTCTGCAAAATACTGGGTGGGATGTGGTTTGACCACCAAAGTTCGGTGCGTTTTTTGGCCTCGCTTGTGACCGGCAAGGTGCCCTCTGCCGTGGAGGCTGTCTTGCAGCAGACCGCACTCCGATTAGAGGAGCCCAGTACTCAGAGAGAGTGGGCAGATTCTACTACTTGACAGCTTCTTGTTTCGGACATGAATGTTACGTGGAGAACCACTACCATGTCTACGGTTGTTATAGTTATTTCTGGTTAGACGATTCAAGCCCTGTAGGCTTTGTGCATGCCTAGCTAGCAAGCAAAGGTGGGTGGTGATAACATCTCCGACTGTCTGACGAGAAGCCATGCCTGGACTCATTTGCAAGTGCCTTTTGTTCGCAGAAGCCCGTACGCATGCACATGCACATACACACTCTGTGTGTGAATGCAAAAGCAAATACAAGCAATGTGCAGATGGAAGGCCTATGTCTTGACAGCATGCCTCTATCACTGTCAGTCCATCAACGCTAAATGACTGGCTTGTTTTTCTGGAAATGCCACTTTCTGGTTGCACAGTCGCACCAACATCAATGTCAATGTAGCAACTATTTGTCAAGATATGCTTACGACGTGGGGCCTCGCTTGCTGCTGCTCTGATGCTGACGACGACTGAAATAGGCAATGGTGATGTTGACGAACACCGATGACTGCTGATGCCAGTTGCTTGTCGTAATGATCGCGATGGGTGGCCTTTGTAGGAAGACCGACGGCACCAGCAGCCCTACGGTCCATTATGAACAGTTGCGTTGGCACCTGAGGTTCAGTGCTTCGCAGCTTTGCCTTCATGTCTCCTCGATGGCCAGGCGCAGTCTTGAAAGTTTGGCTGGGGGATGCCATAGCTAAGTATTGCAAGGAAAGGGATGTGAGCTCTTGCTGCTCACAAGAATACCAGAGAGAGAGAGAGAGAGAGAGAGAGAGAGAGAGAGAGAGAGAGAGAGAGAGAGAGAGAGAGAGAGAGAGAGAGAGAGAGAGAGAGGGAGATGGAGATGGAGATGGAGATGGAGATGGAGATGGAGATGGAGATGGAGATGGAGATGGAGATGGAGATGGAGATGGAGATGGAGATGGATGGAGAGAGATGGAGAGAGATGGAGATGGCGATGGCGATGGTCAAAGAGTGACCCTCGGCAGCTGCACCAACCAGCTGATCTTGTGATTTTTGCCGAGCTGTTGCTGTCTCTTTCGTATCGATGATGATGGCTGAAAAGGATGATGCAGCCAGGCAGTGTTGTTCATGCTGTCGTTACAAGTACGAAGAATCTGCTGAAGAGGCTTGCTTTGATATGATAAAGCTTCCATTTGTCGTTTCAGGCGGGTTTGGATTAAGCCTTCGGCGTTAGCCATTCGCCCGAGCCCATAGGTTTGGACACTTCAACAGTTGGAGCTCGGTAACATCGAGGGCACGTTTTTGGGAGAGATGACGGGATATCCGGCAGGTATCGGATTTCGGCTTATCCGCTTTAGAACAGCTCTGCAGGTTTAGGAACTGTAGTAAGACACTGCTGTTTTCTGATTGAATGAGTTAGTCCAGTGCATACAGGGTCCAGGGACCCGTTTTGGGAACACATTGAAGGCTCAACATCTGCAATGCCGCATGCTGAGCACACTGCGGCGTATGACGTTTTTGGGCCGGGCGGGTATGGTGGCATAGGCTCCAGGGCATCTATGCTTCCAGTGCTTGGGGAGGCTTGCAAAGTGCTTGGGGTGGCTTTGGGCGCCGGGGTTGCATGTGACACCTAGCACAGTGTCAAGATACTGTTCCATGCATCTGCGCAGCCTACTATTACCGCAGATCCTGATGCCCTCGTTTCGGGGATTAACTAGGAGCGACTTTCTTGTTCACCCTTTTGAAATTCTGATAACGATCTTGCAATTCTAAGTCAGGGCTGTAGGCTTTCGAATATGAGGGTACTTCATTCTCGGAGAATAGTTAGCGGTTAGCGCTGAGGGTCAGACTGGAGCGGTGTGCGGGCTTAGATGTGAGCCTAACCGGGCATGAACTGAGGGTGTTGAGCTGTTTGATGAGTGTTGGGTCCTGGGCTTTGTGTGTTTAGTCAGTTGGGGTTTTGGTTCACACACTCGCGTACATGGATGCCAAGGAGCGACTTCTCACGAGCATTGCAGACAAGTTGGCTGAGGTCGGTCCCGGATTGAAGACTCATCGGGAGAACCCAAGGGGTTACGTCTGAGGAAAGGAGATACGTTGAGACCCCTTACCTGGATCGTCACGATGTTGTATGCTGTAGCTCTTTGGGCAGAACCATGACGTCTCTTGTTTGACACATTTTGACCGACACATCTGCCAGTGTCCGAGACTTCTTCGATTCATTCAGCCCGACCTGACCTCAAGACACATGCCAGCAGCAGCCCCATCGTTTCCTGACGTTTGAAGATGTACCTCCTACATGCCTCAGCTTCTGAACCGAATATCCTTATCTTCCAAAATCCTGACTGTTCGGATTCTTACGCAAGACTTGACAGCTCTATCCTGGAGGTAGTGTTCCCCGAGGACGAGTCTGTGCTGCAGCTGAGGCACTTTTCATTGCAGCTGTATCTTGTTCTGAGTGTATTGGGAAGGATTACGTCGTACCGCTCGCATAACCACGACGATGGCTTCGATCATTATTTCTTGCTTGCTTCCGCTGAATTGCTATGAGATTGCAGCTCAAAGTCATATTCTTAGCAGCAGTAGCAGCCGCTACAGCAGCAGCTGCAACGTAATGCAATCACCGTCGTTAGCATTAGGTATTCCGATTACAGGTTCTACTATTTCAGATTTATAGTGTTCTACATAAGCTGCCGCCAGTGCGACAGTTATTCTGACTGGTGTTCCTGCTGGAAATCATCTGAAACCCGAAATCGCATAGTTCTTCCTCTCGCCACATCTTTAAAGTTCTCGAGCCATGTTGCTCGAAGGTTTCACAGAATAAGGGTTGGCTCCACCGGGTCTGTGCAGAGAACGCCACGACAGGGAGGACAGCCAAAAGGGATACCCAGACTGCAGGCCCCCTGCACATGCCGTAGAATTCTGGCTTGTTTCATGGTACCTCAATGTGTATGGGGACACTTAATTCAGATGTAGCGGCACATGACGGTCCCTGTAACGACAAGGCCGCCGTTCTCTGCGCGAGTGCCCGCCTGAGATGATCTGCGAGAGTTGACGTACATAGATGGCTTGCGAATTGGTGGTTTGCAGGGCTTAGGTTTTGGTCTTAGGTTTCCGCGGTTCGGCAAAAAGGCGTAAGACTTTGGGTTTCAGGGTTCAAGGTGGAGTGCGGCTGCGCTGCTGTGGAAGCTCCTGGTGGTGGTGTTGAGTAGCCAGGGATTGACAGGTGTGGGAGTTGGGTCGTTTCAGAGTTCATTCACGGTACGGCTGAGGCTTGGGGTGCACATGGGGTAGAACAGAGGCAGAGCTTCGTGATGTATGAGATATCTGTGAAGGCTGGGGTGTCGTTGTGTTCTGGATAAATAAAGAACCGCAAGGCAAGAACAAACCTAGAAGACCGAAGCACTGTACAATCCTAGACACCCGGCATGTCCGAAGCCCCGAAGCCTGTGATGGCAAGGACATCACTATGGCAGCTTACTCCTTTGCCCGACTGGGCAGCTCGGCAAGTGTTGCGGTTATGCGGAAATTGAGCTGCAGGTTTAGAAGGCAATCTCCCTAACTCTACGGTGCCTAAGCCAAACCTTACAGCTGGTCCAGGATGAAATGATTGGTTTGGGTTTCAGAGCAGAGGTACTCCGTTGGCATTGAATGGACTGCCCAGAGGAGCGGGAAATTTGAGGAACTTTGTCTCTCTCTATCTCTCTCTGTCTCTATACTAGATCGGGTGAAATCTAAAGGTCGGCATTAGACCTCAATCTATGCCCAGAGTCGACCCTTCCAAAACGCCGGTGCGCTGTAGCTTGGGGCTGATCTTCCCCTGAGACTTCGACAGGCTCTCGACCCAAAGCCCTGAATTGCAAATCTTCAGCCATACACCTTTGGCGTCTGTAGATAACCCTTGCTTTCACCCTCAGAGTGACCTCCTGCCCGGTACCTTTGACTTCGAAGCCCTGGCCATCATCCCTCAGGCCTGCGTGAACACGGGGTTTGGAGCACCCTGTCCAGGCCTGCTTCGTGGTTCAGGGCACGGGCTTTGGGCTAGGGCCAGTGTTGGGTTGAGGGCTTTGGAGCTTGAGGTCTCGTGAGTTGCAGGAATTAGCCCTCCTGAACTCCCCGAACTCTGAATCCCTGAGCCCCTGTAGTCTTGTAATGCTTTCCATGCCAAGGTGGCTATTTGAGGATGACACTGCTTTGTTTTCGTTGGATTGTTCCGGGTGTTTGCAGCTGAGGGCTCTGTCAGGGCATGACTTGAGAGTGCATGGCTTGCAGGTGAGGATTCGCGAAGCATGTGGTGTAGCTCGGTTTTATGGTATGGTGTTGTTCATTGTAGGGTGTAGGGTTCGGAGTGCAGCTGGAGCCGGAAAGCCTAGCACCTTGCTGGCCTGGGATGCCGTGCATGTGCGGAGTGATGTTTGCTCGAGGTGCCCAGGCCTTCATTTTGTCATTGTAGCGAGGACCTAGGAGGACAAGCAGAAACAGACAGCAGTCCCGCATGGAGCCATCCGAAATTAGCTGGAAGCCTCGATCAGTGGCAATGTCAAGAACCCTCTCCACGAATCTCTTGCCACTTGTCGAGCAGCCTCATGCTTCGCGGTCCATCGTTCCTGTTCTGCAATGCCTCCGCCGTGTGACACCGACGCTCGGCTGCTTGCTTTCTGTGGCCACTTTTGATCAGAGCTGTAACTAGTCTGTACGGTAGTAATAATGCCAAGAGAAAGGGTACAGACTGCGATTGCCACTGATTGATTCAGGAAGACTTATCTACTCTCAATTTGGGATGCCCCTTTCATGACGGTCTGAGGCCAGCTGCTTTCGAGCAGCGTTGTTGGAAACAGATGGAAGCACCCGCACTCCGGCCCTTCGCGACACTGAACCCCGGAAGCCTAAGCCTAAGCACACATGTACCGCAAAAAAGCTCGCCACCCGATCCAGCACTTCAAGACACCTTTCCATCCGACATACAAACCAGACTCCAAACTCCCCCTGTGTTGGACCTTTCTGACGGACAAGAATGAAACTTGTCTGCCCTCGTGGGGCGGGTGGGGAGGCAACATTGGGGACTGCCTGCCAATTGCGGTCAGGCGACGACTTCCGAAGCACAGCCTGCGAGTGAGGCCGAGGCTGGGATACAAATATTTTACAAGCAAGTAGTAATGAGATCATGTCCCTTATAATTGTAGTGCCTGTGTAACTCATTACTAGTATACTACAGGATATACCACCCGAAACCCCGATCGAATCATGAAGGATGATTGTAGGTTTCCACAAGTGCTCGCGATCTCCTTTCGGGGGTGCGTTGTCGTTGATTCTCTGGTTTTGCTTGGCTTTGTTGCGTGTGCTTGCATTTTCTGGTTTGGCCTGGCCTCTTATGCTGGTTGTTTCCAGCTGTTTAGCCTCCCAGATAGATAGCAGTTTCTGGTCTCGATTCGGAACCTCGCTTTCGCGAGCCGGGTTGTTCGCCTTCAGTTCTTCATGATGGCTCCTTTTCCAAAGTTTCTGCGTTGTCTGTCGGGCGGGTCGGCGTTCTGGGCTTTTTGCCATCTGGCAGCGCTCGCTCCGCGAGTGCTTGCGTCCTGTGAGTTCTCGGCTCAGCCGAGTCTTGCCATTCTAGCTATGCATCGGATCCCCGTTTCTCCATTGGGCCGCGCGGGACCTCGCCCGGATGCCTCTCGGAACGCGCACGCGTTTCGCAACCATTCCCCACGCTATGGCGGGTTTCGGGAGGCTAGCCGGCGAGCATCATGAGCACCCGGGCGCCCGCAACCGGCCCTGCGGCGCGAGGCGATGTTTCGCCAATTTTTTCGAATGGGTTGCGGAAGCCCCCAATGGGCGCGCATCATCAGCATCAGCGAGGTTCGGCGGAGGGCGGGTGCGTGGCCTTGCTCCAGGCTTCTACCTGCGCTGCCCACTCGTGGGCACAGCCCCTATAGACTATAGGTGTCTCAATACCTAGTCACATTATTCCTGATAGGGTTCCTTCTTATCATCATAGCATAGTACAACACCTATATTACGGAAGCCTCTAAATTCGGCTTCTTCGCTTTGTTAAGCGGCCGTTGAGCTTGTAAGGCCGACTATCACCTGGAAGACCCGAAGAGCTTGGCCGCCTTCTTGAAGCATGCGGACATTCGTCTGGTCCGTGCGGAGTGCCTCCTTGCACATGGAGTTTAGAGAGTTGAGGGCAGTATCGGGAGTTCTTGCCTTCTGATGGTCAGCCTTGGTTTCCGTGCTGCGTTGTTGCATTGGAGGCCTTTAAAAACTTGGTTAACACCTAACAAAAGCAGCCAGGGGTTGCGGAGGAGTGGAGACAGGGCCAAGGCTGTGGGGGCGAGGGTGGAGGTTGGGTGAGGGTTGTGAGGGGCGGTGGGCGGACATAACACCTGGAAACGCAGCCAGGGTAGCGGAGGAGTGGAGAAGGGTCCAAGGCTTTGGGGGCGAGGGTGGAGGTTGGGTGAGGGCGGTGAGAGCAGTGGGTGCGGTGCGGGGATGGGTGGTGCAGCTGGGGGTGAAGGTTGGGTGAAAGCGGTAACGGTGGTGAGGGCGGAATAACAAAAGTTGGAGCAAGCAGCGAGGCAAAGCGAAACCAGAACCTCCTACAACAAGAAAGAACTCTTCGGCCGGTGACGGCAAGGCCGGCTACCGGCAGCGAACAGCGACAGTTGGACCAAGCAGCGACAAGAAGCAACAGCAGAACCTCCTACCTACAGCAAGAAAAAACCTCTCGGGATTTCACTGGTGCCGCCCACAAGGGGGTCGGGGGCGGATACTATACTTGACTATCCTACAACTATAATATATCTTTGACTTTTGGGGGTGGGGCAGGTATTTGTACGAGCTACGAAGCCAGAAGAGGCTGCTGCCCCGACGCCAGGAAGCCGAGCGGGCCTCAGACCTGTCTGTGCCCGTGTTACGGGGCCTTAACAACCAGATTCGGGTTTAGGATGGTTTAAGTCTATCATAAGTTCTATCGTAATTTTATACGCAGTAGATTCTGGGTGTATTTTTTAAAAAGTTTTTAGTTGTTGCAGTCGGTGGGTCCAAGCTCAGGAATCCTGGGGCCTTGTGGGCCACGAAGAGGTGAGCGAATGGGCAGCGGGAACGCGGGATGCGATGATCATCTCGATCTCACATGCCTGGGAAACCCGTGAGCACCCGGATCCCTGCGGCGAGCAATTAAGCCGGCTGGTGGACCGCTTGTGTCTCTACGATGCCGCCTACTATTCAGACATCTGGGTGTTTTACGATTACATCTCGCTTTTTCAGTTCGAGCGACGGACAACCGCAGAAGAAGAGAGCTTCCGGCGGTCCATGAATCACATGCATGTGCTCTATGCTCACGACTACAATTGGACCTTCCGCATAGAGGCTCTGACCCCACATCATGTTTGGGACGCCGCATTGCAGAACTCGGAGCACCTCGTGACGGTGTATGATGCTGCAAGCAAAACTGTTCGAGGCCGCCCCCTCAAGGAGCTGGTCGCCAACCGCGTCCCTTATCAAGGTAGGGGGTGGTGCAAGGCAGAGGTGGAGTGGTCTTCTTGCAGAAGCAGGTCCGAACAGAACCAGCCGATCGATGCTCCTGAATCTCAGCATGACTCGAAAAGTGCCCGTTTGCAGGGCAAAGTCCCAATGGCTCCGGAGCTGTTCGAAGAGGGCATGGCGAAAGCCGAATTCACGCATCGAAACGATGCCACAGCAGTGCTAAAGCTGCAGCGGAAGATTTTCCATCAGAAAGTTTCGGAGTGCGAAGAGTTGCTGCTGGCAGACCTGCCGAAAGGCGAGTTGGGTCAGCTGGCCAAAGCTTTGATCCACTACAAGAAGCTCAGGGTCCTGCGCCTACGCAACATCGAGGTGGGAGAGGAGGAGGCCAAGGAGTTCGCGCAGGCTCGGGCCTCGCGCCTGGAATCCTTCCGGAGCCTTGAGAGTTAGCTTCCAGGCCCTCGCTCTGGACAACACGATCAAAGAGCTGGAGATAAAGGTCACTAAACACACTTGGAGCAGCGATATCTGGAAGGCACGATCTTAGCAACTGCCACCTTTGATGTGACTAGGATCAACACTGAAGATACCAGTTTGCCTTTCTTTGCGAGGCCTTGGCTGGGGCATTGGAGACCAACAGCACCCTCACCACCATCGACCTCAGAGGCAACAACATCTGCGGCGAGGGCTGCAAGGCCTACGACCTACGATGCCCAAGGGTTTCTGCTTGAGCCGGGCCTTTCCCTGCCAGGCCCTTGGAAAAGCATTGCAGACCAATGGCACCATCACCACCATCGACCTGAGACAGAATAGCTTGATCTTAGCCTCGGGCCTCAAGGCGACGGGGTCCCAACATGTCCCAACGATGCCTTTGCAGCTTGCGTGCCCTATCCTTTCCCTGCTAGGCCATAGCAGAGGCATTGACGACAAACCGCTCCGTCAGCACGATCCACCTTGACTACAATGGCAGCGGTCGCGAGTTTCTCTGGGCCCGCGGCCCGGAATGACTAAAGCGGTCGGGGACTCTACAGAGTGCGGTCTCAGCTGTACTGCCAGGAGATTCAGAAGACTCTGGAGATCAGGAAAGCTTTCAAGGAGCCCAGCCTCGCAGACACAACTTCAACGCAGGGTTTTTTCAGCGGGCAGAGTTGTGCTAGTCGCGCAAGCTAAATTCCAGGCAGAAGCGGAAAAGCGCTCTTACAGGCGCGCCGCAAAAGGTTTGAAAGCCGGAGTGCCTTGGCCTTATTCGCATGTTGCGAATTGCTGTAGGGGTGTGCATGTGACCTCGTGGGTTTCGGCATGTTGTTTTCATCTCTGCCGCACGTCCTCCCTACAGCTTGACACCAGTAATTTGATCCTTGAGTGCTGAACATAGCAAGGGTTGGCTTGGGAGCTATTGGGCAGGTTTGCCCAGCAGTAAGTGGGTCTGTGTTCAGGGCTGCAGCACCTCAGAGCTCCGCGTTGCAGTACGGAATGGTTCAACGTTTGCGGGTAACCTCGCAGAGCTGAGGGTCCATAGAGACCCGGCAAGTCTCCGAAAGCTTTCGAATTCCACTGCAAGGCCACCGCGAACTCAGCCCAGGCTTGGACGGGAAGAGTGCGCAGCGAGGACGATTGCCCCTCTTGTTTTGTAGTGACGCAACTTGATGGACATGCTTGGCTTTGCAGATTTACGGTACGGTATATAGTTCCATGCCAGGAGCTCCTATCGCTGCTGCAGGCCAGCTACGGCAGCATCGCCACCATCGAATGTCATTTCCGCACCAAAATCGGCGAGGAGGGCTGCAAGGCTCGTGGTACCCGTCAGGATTGTGCAGGTTGAGCTTGGCTCTTGCCTGCGAGGCCCTTGGAAAAGCATTGAAGACCAACCGTACCATCGCCGAGATCTCCCTCTCAAGCAATGGCATCGGAGATGAGGGCAGCAAGGCATGCATTCCTCCAACAGGTCTTTGCGGCTTCCGGGCCCCTGTCCTTGCCTTGCCGTAGGCCTTAGCAGCCGCATTGGCGACCAACCGCACCCTCAGAAAAATCGTCCTCAAATCGAATGACATCACTGACGAGGGCTGCAAGGCCCTGCAGTCCACGCTAAGTCATTGCCGCTTCCATGCCCATGTCCATTAGCCTTTGCAGGCGTTGGCAGACGAATTGACGACGAACCGCACCCTCAGAGAAATCGACCTCGCATCAAATGACATCGCTGACGAGGGCTGCAAGGCCTTCAGTCCGCCGAGCTTTGTGCAGCTTGAGAGTTGCATACAGGATTTTTGAAGCCAGTTAACCGGCACCTTCCATTCCAGACAAGGCCTTTGCAGAAGCATTGCAGATCAACAACGCCATCACCAAGATCATCCTCTCGCGGAATCGAATTGGAGATGAGGGCAGCAAGGCCTCGTTCCTCCACGAGGATGTGAGCTTGAGCCGGATCCTTCCCTGAGAGGCCCTTGGAAGAGCATTGAAAAGCAATTGTACCATCAAAGAAGTCGACCTCAGAAATAATCACATCTCAGATGTTGGCGGCAAGGCCGGGCAGTGCTCACGAAGTTGTTGTAGCTTTCATGCCCATCTCGTTGCACATCTGTGACGATGGCTGCATTGCACTGCAGATACTGCAGTCCACGCTAAGGCGTGTTCATGCCATGCCCATGTCCGTTGAAGGCGTTAGCACCCTCACCGACATCAGCCTCGCATCAAATGACATCGCTGACGAGGGCTGCAAGGCCCTGCAGTCCACGCCAAGTCGTGTCCATGAACATGTCCTTTGCAGGCGTTAGCAGACGCATTGGCTACCAACTGCACCCTCAGAGAAATCGACCTCGCATCAAATGACGTCGCTGACGAGGGCTGCGAGGCTGTTGGTCATCGCGAGGTTTTTGCTGTAGCATAGCACAGGTCGCTTGCCTGTGAGGCCATTGCAGAAGCACTGAAGTCGAACGTCAGCATCGAGAGCCTCAGACTCGAGCGGAATCGAATCGGAGCCGACGGCGTTCGGGTCTGCCGCACTAAATTGCTGCTTCTAGGATTTAGCCGCTTGCAGATCCGGTCCCCATTCCCTGCCAGGCCCTTGCACATGCGTTGAAGATCAACTGCACGATCAGCTATATCAGCCTGTACAGCAATCCCTTCGGACTCTTCGGCTCCAAGGCCAGCTTTGATTCCAGCAAGAGGTCTTTGCAGCTCATTTTTTGCCAGGCCTTGGAAGGGATGTCACACTTCAATCGCGCGGTCGAATGGAAAGTAGGGGGCACCGACGACAAGGCTTGTCGTCTCCAACAGGTCTGCACGGCTCGGGCTCGTTCCTTTCCCTGCTGCGAGGCCTTCATTGAACTTGGCCTTGGTGACGTCTGTCTGAAGCTGTGCCTTTCGCCTTTGAAGACCGTGTGCAGATGCTTGAGGGCGGCATCTAAACGGTTCGCAAGTTCCTGTGATCGCCACCCCCGTTCAGCCGCAGTGTGAAAAGATTTGCATGTCAGCTTCGGAGTCGTAGGCGCAGAACACCACGTCTGCGGACGAAGCCCAATCCGCATCATACTGGGCTGTTGGCCAAGTGTCCCACATATTAAATTCTAAAAACCCTAGTCTACTAAAGCTACACAAAACCTATATATAGGTTTTAGCACGACTTTAAGAGGTTGTCTCAACCCAGGATCCCCAGCCGCCAGCCAGGGCGTCCAAGCCAGTGATACGGCATTTCACCGCCAAGGAGCTGCAGACGTTGACTGTCTGGGCCTTTTTCGGGGCCTGCGTTCGGGCTCTGGATAGCACGCGTGTTTAGGTTTTGCGGGGCTTTGGGAGTTGTGGTTGAGTCGAAGTTAGGATCGTTGGACTGAGGGTTATGAATCGCTCCTGCGACGCATCCCGGATTGAAGATCTCACCGAAGGGGGAATGCTTGATTGATGCGAAGGTGCAGAGGGGATTGGGATGGGTACCATGGGCCCCCACATCCCCAAAGATCATAGGCTGGGACAAATTTGGTCGTTGAGGGGGGTGATTGCCACAATGGCTTCCCCGCCCTGAAAGACCAAGGTTTTCAGGTAAGAACTGAAAGGAGCCTTCACTGCTTCAAGAATGCAGTAGGCCCCTGGCCTTCTGACACTCCTAAACACTAAAGGTCCATTTACATAGATCCTATATGCATTAGCCCTAAAGTTGCGTGTCAGCAATCCTTTTACATCCAAACTTGGCACTAAATACGTGTCTTGTGGAAGCCTTAGAAAAATCGTTATGGAACCCTTAATGTCTACGAAGGCCTTCTAAATCCAGTATAGATCCCAGATGAATCACAAAAAGAACCCTGATAGAACCGATGTAGAGTTCTCACAGAAGCCTTTCTTGTATGTGCCAAAAATGTATCGAGTTCTCTTCTTGGATCTGTCAAAACTCTGGACTACACCCACTGCTAGAACAGAAATATCGGGCCAACAGCTGTTAACTTAGAAAGCCTGTATGCTAGATCTTACGAAAATGTGAACGACCATGTTGGTTTAGATGTAATCAGCGATACAAGAACTCAATTCGACAGCCAGATTCGCGGTTGCTACTACTTGTGTGTGGGTGCAGCCGTCCATGGTACATATGCATATACGCAGCTCCTTGTCCTGTTGCGTTTTGTCTCGTTTTAGCTGTCCTAACTTCCCAAGTGCGAGCTTCTTCTTGCTACACCAGCATAGTGTATATCACCAGGTCTCACGCACGACACGCACACAAAAACTCCTATGTAGATATGTAGAATGTAGATATGCGTTTTTATGCAAACTGGGCAAACACATCAATACTACCATTACAGACGTAAGTAATATGGAAAAACATTTGGTTCGGGATATTGTTTTAATGAGGTGTTAAGACTCTGTGGGTACATTCAATGCTATCTGGAATGTGCCTATATGCGTGTATATACATCCGTGTATGGAGATCATCGTGTTCGCATTGGTCTGCGACCTCTGTAGAATGCAAAAGGTCATGCTTGTGTACATGCGGTGAACTATTCAATATTATTCCAGTCTTGATGCTATCGTTGCTGCGGCTGTTGCTACATGGTTGAAAAATGACTGTGTGCATGTGTGCTAGGTGCAGAAACCCTCTATTCCCCGTAGCCAGAATTGTATTAACATATTAAAACACAAAGTTGCCCACTAAGGCTAAGGGCTTATGCACGTTGCACTAGGGTTTGTCGGCTTCTCTCGTATGCGACCATGTACTGCGCATTTCCTGCATAATACTGGTACATTCCACCGGTGTTAATCTGTAGTACCTTACACCTTGCGTAAGTACCCATATTGCATCGGTATTTGAGGAACCGTACCTGGTTTTGGAAGTTAAAGATTTGGTGCTTGGGGGCTTGGGGATTTTCAGCTTAGAGATAGCAATGAACCTTTATAACCTTAAACCGTAGTCGGGTTTCATTCGGGCTGCGGGGTTTAGGGCTCAGCGTGTGGATTAGTTCAGGGCGTAGGGTTCAGCGTGACTGACCAGTCCGTGAGCCCTATATTGAGTTCAACAGGCCTATTGAATTCAATAGGGCTGTCGGATTCAAGATTGAAGATTCAAGATGCTCTGGGAAAGCTTTCTGTGACATCTTGAATCCGACAGCCCTGTTGAATTCAATAGGCCTATTGAATTCAATAGGCCACACGAGTGGATTGAACTTCAAAACTCTGGATGCATCGGGACTGCTCCCATTGCCCTAAGCACGCTCCCTGCAGACATACTATAGGGTTCAGAGTAGACGCATACACATGCAGGGAAGTCATTTATGTTTTAGACGGGCAGATAAGTGAGGGGGAGGGGGTCAGGGGCAGAATGCACAGGATTTACACCAAAAACTTGTAGATAGCTCGAAGGGGGGGGTACCATACAGAAATATATACGCTTAAAACACGACACCCGTCGTCTCAATCCGCCGAAATCGAAACTCTACCTTAAGGCCTTGTTTTCTGCACTTGTTTATGTTGTCAGTCGCAGTGTTTTTGCAGGGTTGCGTTGAAGTTTGTGCTGCAAACAAGGTTGCGTTGGCCCGCGTGCAACGAGCCGATGCGCAGCTGCTCGACGACATCTCCACACAGGCTTGGCAGGGTCTCTCCCTCGTACCATGAGGGATCTGCTTGTGCGGGTCCTTACGACGGAAATCCTGCCATTATGACCAATAGGGCTCTTAGGGTTTGTATCCGTGTCCTTTCCTTATCGTTGCATAGCCGCATATCCATTCCCTAGATGGAGTGGTGTGAGGTTTGCTTTGGCAGCTCGGAGCTAAGGGTTCCTTGACGGATCCGGCGTGAGTCCCACCCGCCTATCATAACCTGTGAGCTCTGCTGTGCTGGTGAGTTGCAACCAGACCCTGGCTTAAACAGCGAATCGATGCCGGCAGCAATCAATCTGAAGCCCCTTGCAGAATAAATCGCTGGACCTTACACCTCTAGACTGTTCGTGCGTGTTGCAGAAAGAAAAGTCATATTGGATCGTGATCCTGAGACATCAACTCCGACTCCAAAGCTTTGGTCCTGTCTCCGGTTGAATGTCGCGACATTTCAAAAGGGGTCCCCTCCGGGGCTCCTGGCTTCACGTACGTTCTTGCTGCAACAGCTGCAGACCAAGCCCCCGAAGCACCAAACCCCAATGCTCCAAATCGAAACCTGGAATTGTAAGGGCAATTTTGCCACTTGTGCTCTTCTGTAGTATACGGTACGCCCGCTTGAGTATGAAAGAGTACCGTGACTTCTAAAATAAGCCACAGGCTCAGCGCCGCATCGCCCAGTTTAGTGCAGAGCCGCTTGCACTGCTGTTGCGAGGCCGACATTTACAGCCGGCAAGCCAAAGTGGTTGAAATGATAGGATAATTGTCGCTTCTGTCCTCCCAGGATGAATCTTTATATCTGCATTTGTCTTGCGATTCTGATTATCATGCTACCATGTCACCGTCGGGATCACTGCATCGTTTCCTCCTGTCTACAACATCTTCAGTATCTGTAACCTTCATCATATGATTTTCTTCCGTTCCTTCCTGTCCTTCTTCGTGGGTCGGACCGGGCTGTGCTGAGACATTGAATCTGCTATAACTAGCATTGTGACAGCTGGTCCTCAAAAGCCCAAAGCGTGGACCTCAAACCCAGACCCTTTCACACTACGCCGCAAGACCCTCACCCTGAACCCCGGGACCCCAAAACCCTCAACCCCCAGCCCCTAAAGGATGCCTAATATAGATGCCTGAGGAATTAGAATAGGGCTTTGGGGACCGCACAACTATAAATATAATAAGGAACCCCAGAATAGTATTGGTAGCCGTTTCGGTCCCTATATTAAACCCTACATCCTGGCAGGCTTTGCTTTCCTCGGTCGTGCCAACGACCCGCTCTTCACGCGGGCCGGGCATTTCATGGACCCGAGCTTCACGGATCATCGGGGTTCGAGTGGCCGAGGAAGTATCTATCCCTGGCCTGAAGGGTTCGGAGCTCAAGGCTTTAGAGTGTAGGACGCCGTCGGATGAAAAGGTCGAACTGGTAGGGTTTAAGAGGGACCTGGGCATCCCTGAGACGGATGAGGTGGAGCGCAGAAGCCAACAAAGGGACGCCCAAACCAGGAGCCAAACAAGTAATCTTGCATAACACTGGAGATGTCTATTGCAGCAGGAAGAGGTTGCAGTCTTGGCTTGGCATCAGAGCATCGTGCCCACAGTTGTCCTCTTCATCGTCAGCAGCAGCTAAAGAAGATCACTACTGCAATAGGCATCATCGCGACCGTCACCATCGCCCCAGCCATCACTATGAGCTTCATCATCTCATCGCATGTACGTAGTCATAACTCCTGGTACACAGGCCCCAGGGCTACTCGTGGCAGTTCTGTTGGCCAACCCTGACCCTGTAAGCCTAACCTGTAGTTTAGGGTAGGGGTGAGGCTTGGCGGGACAGCTTCTGAGACAGTGGGGTTCACGGTATCGGGTCTACAGTCCGCGACGTGTTGTTCAAACTTCAGTTTTCTGCGTCTTCGCCCCACACAGTGATGTAACAGCCAAGCTCGAACGGAAGAGCCGAAACCGTCAGACTCAGGGTGCTCGTTTTCTTCCGCTCCGACTTTTCCTACTAAGAATGCTTTCGAAATTGCGATCGGCGACTGGCAAGACAAGACTAACTGTGTCTGATGAGTCTCAAACAAGGTACAGCCGCAACTGCCTACTCCCCATTATTCTGAACTCTGGACTCTGAACCCTAAACGTAACCCCCTAGCTTGAGAAACCACGGGCCGCAGGCTCTGACCCAGCTGCCCCGAGTGCTTCTGGCCGCACGCCCAGCGGATCTCGTCACACATTTGGCGGGCTTCGTGGCTGCGGAGGCCGGGGTGCAAGCTTACAGGGGACTGCACCTAAACCCCAGAAGTGGGGAAAATAAAATAATGGCCCAATACCTATAAAAGGCTATTATTCTACATACTTTGGGGGTCCACGTAGGTACCCTTTGGTACCCTTTCCCTGTCAGAGCAGGCTTTTGTGTTTTAAGCGTTCAGCTGCTCATGGGCCCCTGCAGACCCTAAGTTGTAGATGCGAAGGTCAGAAGCCCCTTTCTCTTCGACCTGATGACGCCGATGATCCTGGAAAAGGCTGGCCCGGCTGGCATGACCTCAACCCGAAGACCGCACATCTAAGGCCGATAGGATGAGAACCCTGAGCCCTCGGCTCCAAACCCTCAAAGTTCGAAGCGCCAGTTAAACTCCGCACTCTGAGCCCGAAGCCGCTGTTCCGTAAAGCGTGACAGGACATGTTTGAAGAATCTGATGTAGCGCTTGCAGCATCGATGGCAGGGTTGAGTGGAGTTCGTTACGCTAAGCTTACGCACAGTCTGCCTTTGCAACCTAATCTAATGTCACATATCTATATAAGCCATTGGAACGCTTCGCAAACAGACGTCGCCTCACATACAACTCTCCCCAGGTGCACACACTAGTTTAGGGCGTAGGGTTCGGAGGCGGGTTTGATTCAGGAATGATCAGGAATGGCTGTTGGATTCCTATGAGATCTGCTGACTCAGTGGAGTGAAGCAATGTTGTCTGAAGCCATACTTGAGTATATAAGATCTGTATCAGAAAGTCGCAAGGGTTCGGTCCAAGCCGCATGGAAAGCGCAGCTTCTGAATGCTGCCCATGAATGCCCGACAGTGTGCTGAACTCCCAACTCAGTTCTCCAAAGGCGCACACGAGGCTCTAGTTGTGACACTCTCGGGCCGTGAACCCTGAGCACAACACCCGAGGCTCCAGACCCCAGCATCCTAAGCTCAACATACGCCCGTGACACCCTCCGAAACCGTCCTCAGCCCTCCGCATCCGGTCGAGGCTCCCATGTTTACAGCTTTTGACTGGCTGCTTGCCTTGCGCTCTGGCCTCAGCTCGTCTCGTCAAGTCGACTATGGCCTGGCATGACTATGGGAATAGTTTGGGGTTTAGGGTAGAGCATTGCATAGGTACGCTACAAAGTATCCTTCAAAAAACATATACTCTAGTTGTCCAGGTTCCTGAACTTTGGGATTCGAGGACCTTCCGGAAAGGGTGCGGTTGTGGCGTGGGTCGTCATCGCTTGTACTCAGAAATGCTTCAGGCTAGCTGCCAAGCGCTCGGAAATCTACATTCGCATCGCGTGTAAATTCGAGACCCATATTCGGCACAATTCTGAAAGTTGAAAAAAGCTTCATTCTCGTAAGCCAGATGAACCGGCACAGGCTTGAGAAGAGTCGCGAAGCATGACTTGCGGGGATGCGGGGACATCCGTACAGTTGCATGGCTCTAGTTGCAATGGTCGTCTAGCTGTTCATCCTTCCTGCTTGCTGTCGCTCTTCGCAAGCAAACCCTGAACTAAAGCCTTTAACCGCAGATCCAAAGCATTAACCAAACCCTTTACCCCATGCCCGAACTCTCAGTCCCGAAACTTTCAAAAACCTATACGAGCCTATTTGAGCCTATAGCAACCCCCATACGAGCCTATAAGAGCCGATAAGAGCCTATATGCCTGAAGCCCGCAAGCCTCGAAGCTCCAGACCTGCATCTGAGGTAGCTACGCTGCAGCACCCCAGGCTTCGGGCTGCCTGGTCGAGTTGCAGTTGTGATAAACACTATATAAGCATATTGGGGAAAACTTTTTTACTTCACTCTACAAATGGATTCTGTTTTGCTATTCGGGCTTTCATAAATCTTCAATCGAGTATCAACAGGGTTTCGGGCATACCTGAGTGCTTAACTATCCCTTTCACTCCACTTAGTTTGACCTACTAACTCCGACCGCCCACACAAGCCTTAACCGTGGAAGCTTCAATGCATTAGGCCCGTCGTCCCTAAACCTCAGGCATCCCTTGTAGCAGCTGTTGCCGAAAGGGGTGAGATTCACCATAACCGATTCCCAAACCCCAAAAAACCCTAAACCCAATCCTGCAGATCGCGGAATCCAAAACGTTCGCAGCATCGGAGGCCGATGAGATGTTTCTGTCAGCCTTGGAGTTGCACTTCAAGGCTCTCTGGTGCACTCTTTGGCTTTGCGAGCTTCTGGTGGGTCTAGGATCTGAACCTGCATGCACTGTCTCAACATGCTGTGCGAGGCCATGGACTGACAGGTTTTAATCCTGTTTTTTTTTTTTTTGTGGGGAGGGTGGCCCCAGGGTGGCTTAAGATGCCATGAGTTTAGCAACTTTGGGGCTTCGGTATTTGCATTTGTGGATGTCAGGTTGCATGCATGACTGGATGGATGAGTGAGTGGATGGAAGTATATCGGTCCCTACATCTATGCTCACTATTCAATCAGACATACCCCGAGTCCTGAATCATGAACCACACAGTGTCAATACGTATACATATATACACAGTTAGATGCAATTTATCTCTACATCCATACATAGGTAGTCTGAGAGACCGGTGGAGCCACATATACCTGAAGTTAACACAGACACACGGAGGCCTGCAGAGGCACCAGGGCACCCCATACGGCCAAGTCACCGTCATCCGAGCGCCTGAAGGTGTAAGGCTCCATGTACCCAGATAGTTTATACTTAGGCCGTAAAATACCTAAATAGGGACCCCTGTAAGGCTTAAGTATCTACTGTAAAGGTACATGGAGCCTTTGGGAAGTCCCCGGCAGGCCTCGGAGCTCTCGAAAGCGGAGCAAAGCGAGGCTGAGGAGATGATCCGGCATTTGAGAGCCGAAGGCTCAGGGCTTGCTGTTGGAAATGGGGCAATACCTGTAGTCTCCATTGTATATTTCCTTTTTGGGGTTACCTTGTAGGTTTCTAAATATGTAATTATGTATAATATGTATTTGGTTAAACCAGAAAAAAGGAACTACAATGGAGACTCTAGGTAGGGTTGTGTTGCAGTCGCATAACGAAGTTGTTTTTTCCTCTGAAGGGTCTTAGGGTGACGTTACAGTTTTGATAGAGTTTTCGGGTAGCTACTGGGGTTGAGATTTTGCGTCTGATTTGGGGTCGCTTACAGTTGTTGTCTTGCTGGTCTCATGTTCGGGCCCAGCTGCTTGCAGGATGATTTGTGTTTGGGCGCCCTCGGTAGAGGTTGGCGTGCGCGTGCTTGGACCCTAAAGAACCCGCACTTTCGAGTGGTAGTCTTTAACCGCTGCTGATACAATTGCTAGAGAGGGGCAGGTTACCATATTCTAGATGAAAATCATGTATTTCTCTATATAGTAGCCAGGCTCTTGATTGTCACCTCCCATCTCCGCGCCTCCTTATGATCGCTTATGTGTTCTACCTGCAGGGTCCTACTGAGCCCTCCGAGCTCTGAGGCTCGCCTTCGCTTCGACTCTGAGTAGACGAAGGCCCTCCGGGTTCAAGGCGCCGCACGGCACAAGCGTAACCGGAGAACCCGAAGCCCAGTCGTATTAGCTATTTTTTTATAGGTCTTCTTATTATTAGCAGGTCTGTTTGTTTCAGCTTCACTTTTGGTATTGGAGGATTCCGAAACCCCACGAGTCTAATGGTTTGCAATAGGCTCCAGATCTGAAGCTGTTGCTCAAGTTTGGGTGGCCCAACCAAGACACTGCTAAGCTAAACCTGAAGTACATCGTCCAAAGCCCGCTGACCCTTGCGGAATACTCCTTAGGCGGACAATCGAGGAGTCTCAGGGGATGAGGTTGGGTGTGTCTAGCAGTCTAGCACACAAGACTTTGGCTTTAACTCCACATGAACTAGACTAGTGTAGCCATGCAGGAGAAGGGGCACGTTTCACCCTTGGATTCCACCAATCACATGGGAGCCTGTGGAAATGGCACATCAGAATGGCACGGGCGGTTCTATACTAAGGTCCTCTGCTGTAGAGGTTGTGCAACTGGGCCTCGATGAAAGGTATCTTGGTTTGTCAACTCGCTGGAAAGCAACTGACAGCTTTCAGCCCTCAAATGGCTCTCAAGCCGACACGCACGATTGTGGGCGTTGAAGGTGCGGAAGGGGCTTTCGGGGTTTGGCGGTTCCTGCCTGAAGGGTTTTAGTTTACTGTAGTTCTGGGGTTCTTTGGGCGAGTCCTGGTCACAAAGGATGCCTTTCCACGGCTAAATTGTTACACCAGCTCACCGTAAGAGTGCCGAACAAGACCGCCACCGATGCTTGATTGCCCGGGTACCTTGAGATTCTGTCTATATCGGAGCATAGAAAGGCGGGATGGAGGAATAAGGCAAGTCCCGGTGTAAACACCGAGATGAAGATTTCCCAAACACCAAAGTCCAGGCCTGCAGCGCTTGTTCTCGCGCGCAGCATCGGGCTTCAACCCCATCCCGGTATCGGTTCACAAAGCCCGGAACACAAGTTACTCCCAGAATCCATCCAGTGTTGTAAGGTTCGGTAGAGCCGGTTCGAGCAGTAACCACAACGACATGTAGTAGCACTGGTTACCAGTAGAATCAGTAGAAGAACCGGTAGCCGGTAGTAATGCTAGTATAGTTGAGGCGGTTGTGCTAGGTGAACAGAAAATGAGAGGGTAAAAATCCCAACAGCAATGCCGGAATTCCCACGTCGTAGTAAGACCACCTGGCGAAATCTCTATCCCGGTCTCGTTTGGAGCAGTCCTGCAGACCAGACAGCTGAGTAGACTTGTCGGAGCAGCATGCCGCTGCAGCTGATCTTCAGTATCCGAGGCCGACCCGGTATAGCAGCCCCCGATCATTAGTAAGTGTGAGCGGTTTGGGTGTAGGCTTCCCTCCCTTTGTGTGTTATGTATGAGTTGGCTTCCCCCCGGTTCCTGCCAAACAATCGTATTCACCTTGTTCAGTTGCAGATCCCAGCCTATCTAAGCAGGGTGGACACAACATAACACAGTAGATTACAGCAGTATATGCAATGTAATAAAGTATAGCATTGTATCGTATAAAAACACAGCCATTTGACAAGGACTGCGTTCGTTAGTTTGTTGCTCTCCGCTTCTCGATATTTGCTTCTGCTCCTTTCCGTTTTTTCTCCTTCCTTTCGCTGTTTCTTATCCGTTGCAGCTTGTTGGTCCTGGTTCTTCCCCCCGCTGATTAAGACTAAACCGGTTCTTCGATAGACAGCCCAAAGGCTAAGCTGCAAGGTTTTGGCACGGAGTTCCAAACACCCCACAGCAAATACTGAAGGGAAGCTGAAGCAATTCGCGAACATCAGAGAGCAGGTCACGGCCAAGCCCCCCCCACCCCACCCCGCCCCGCCTGCAGCTGAACCAAGACAGAGCTTGATTGTCGGAGTTTCACGAATCATTGGAAGTCGAACAGCTGGCAATATCCGTTGATATGCCCACATAACTGCAATAGAAAAAGGCCCTACAAACGCTGTTCGAATTCGGTGTCTGCAGGAGCGGGTTGTTTTGCAGAGTGTTCTTGCTGTGGAGGCTTCAGCCGCTTGACTGCTTTCGCGACAGGCGATCTCTGAGATTTTGGGTTCAGCGGGCCACTACCCCAACATTCAGATAGCTTTCTCCTATAGCCTATATCCTCTCTCGTCCCTGAGCATCAGGGGTAGACCTTGAGACGCGGGGCATTGAAGCTTCAGATCATCGGCAGGTCTGCCGTTTAGAAGCCATGGCAAATAAAGCTCAGCTTTTGTTTTGACTTGTGTCTTCTTGAGGTGAGGTTAATGTGCAACATGAAGCCCTCTTAGCTGCAGGGGAGGTCAAAAAGGACAGTATGCAAAGCAGCAGCTCGAGTGCGCCACCCCTGGATACTCCTGGTTTCGCGGGACAACATGCAGTGAGCCCCAAGGTAAATTGAATCTTCACATGTAGTGGCCATGCAAGAGTCGAGTTGGCCTGACAGGTGGGGGTGTTAGAGTATGAGACTGGGAGCATCTAATTCAGGGTGTGGATTCTGGGTAGTTGCTTCGACATAGATTCATCAATTTTCATCCTTGGAGTTCGCACTGGCAGAGCTTAGATGCCCCTATAAGGGTAACTAGTAAAGGTAGCAGAGTTGTCAAGAACATGCTCACAGAAGCTCTGAACCTTCGGGGTGGCTGCAGGCATTGAGCCCCTCGAACCCAAGGCTTGTGACAGTGCCCCAAACTGACACTATGAAATCCCGTGAACGTGCGTGGCAAGAGTCAGGGTTTCAAGCCTAATGCGGTATGGAAATATACTTGATAGGCTGAACACGTATTCCTACGCCCGTCGGAAGCCCAAACCCGAAATTCTCGCCTGGGATTCAAGATTCTGGGGTTCTGTGTGCAGTTCACTTCAGAGGTGGCTTACATCGCCTTGCAATTAATGATGCGCAGTGCATGGGCAGAGTGAAATTTGCTCAAGGCTCCTCGATGTGAGCGTTGCAGGAGAGTTGCATCCTCAGCTGAGCCCGTGCCTCTAAGATGCTATGTAGGCTCCAAGAGACAACTTGGCCTTATCGCCACCAACCTCACTCATGTCGCCGAACGACCCTTTGTCACACCTTCAACAGCTGCTGACTGAAGGACCTCGCCTGGCGGCCAATACAGGAGTTGCCGCGCTGCCATGCAGCCCTCTTGTTCCTGCTGCGAACCTCTGCGTTGGTTCATTTGCCCTCCGAGGCCCTGCACATGAGCTTGACATGTTGTGCCAGACCTGAGCGCTAATCCATCCCTTTCCAGCGCTGTGATGGATGTTGTGAGCTCATCTAAAGCCGGGAGATCCCTTGAAGACGCTTCGGAGTCCACTCGGTTTCGAGCCTCTTTGTCATTGAAACGACTGAACCTACCAGATTTCGCACTCCAGCCGAACATCTAGAGAACAGGTTTCGACTGTGACTTGCAAAACCGTCAGATTAACTGACAAGCTTGCACAGCCCGCTTTGCAATACCAGGCCAAAGCCTCATTCTACGAATGAGGCCGGGTTTCCATGGTGCTGTGGTGACGCATGCCATTCTGCTCCAAGACTTGTTTCTGCATTGTGGTTTCCCGGTGTTCCACTACATGGTTCCGTTGGTTTTTGAGGATTTTCTGTGTCCCCTTTGGCCCTCTGCTCTTGCACAAGCTTTGCACTGTTCAATCGCTTTCCGGAGGCAGTCCTGCCGTCTGCATTCTGTGCAGTTCACCCTGTCGATGTCTTTGGCTTGCGTGCTTGGTTGTTCGCTTGTTTGTTTGTTTGTTTGTTTGTGCTTTTGCTGTCGCTTTGGTGCAACGCTTCCAAACCCTGTCCGGTCACTCAGCACGATAGGAGCTGAAGCCGCAGCAGCCGGTGGGCTGTATTTCTGCATGTTTTGCTTTCCGCGAGGCCGTGACCTTGGGCGATAGCCAACAACACAGCCAAGGAAAGCAACCTTGGCAATCTCTACTGCAAGGCTTAAATGGGCTCAATCCAGGAAACTAAACTAACCAGAACTCATGACTCACTAATTTGACCAAGCAAATGCAGGAATTGCAACAAAGCACAACTTACCAATGTGCCATGAAACTGTGGAGGAATACCCGGAGGGTGCTTGGACTTCGGCCGAGTCGTTTTCGCGGGCATCTGTGTTTGAAGACAATGCCTCAATGCTCCCATCATCACAAGCCGTTTGTCTTGCTCAGTGCTCCCCCCGGTCTGCTTTCGCGCGCGCGTGAGTTTGTGCCAGCGTTGCGTTTTCGCCATTCACCGGTTCTTGAAGAAGACGCAGGGACCCTGACAAAGCGTTTGTTGCTTAGGAGCCGAGCTGCACTTCCTACACCGCCGAACCCGGCAAAACCCTTTGGGGCCGGAGTCACAGCAAAATCGGACAAACCAAAAGACGACGACGCAAAGACCCCAGACCGCCAGAATAGCAAGCACGCCAGAACGTCGACAATACTGAGCAAGACTCGAAGAGTACTGTAGAAGCCGAAGTGGGCAACTGACTAAGAAGACAAGGCAATTCCCCAGGCGATGGCTATCACTTTTCCGGGCATCGGTGGTTTCCTGAGTTCGCTTGTCATCTGGGTTTCTCAAGTTTCTTTGGTTGTTACCTAGTAGTATGGATGGTTGTACAGTGTTTGTTTTCTGCCGCTGTGTTGCTTGTGGGGTTCGGCCAGGGTACATAGAACACTTGATTAATCTCCTTGGCTTCGTTGGCGGGTCTTTCAACGAGCACGGTCCGTCGCTGCTCTGCCCAGTTTTGGTTTGACTTTCAAGGAAGCCTTATCCTGACATTCGTGTCGTTTCAATTGGTGGTTGACTGTGTCCGCGTTCGAAACGCTTCCTAGCACGCAGGAGGCCACACACACGAACATTCTTGTCCCATTCAGGCAGTCGGGGATCATCTCAAGACTGCAGACCGATAACATACCGGATCCCAGGATGGATGTCTTGCTTAGCAGTATCTGACGCACCTCGCCTGCAGCATGCAAGGCCGAGTACAACCTGGAAGACCCGCAGAGTTTGGCGGCATTCCTGAAGTATGCAGACATTCGTTTGGTCCGTGCAGGGTGCCCCTTTGCAGATCGAGTCCATATGCTCTGAGGCTGAGAGAGAGAGGGAGAAGAGGGAGAGAGAGAGAGAGAGACAGGGAGGGAGAGAAAGAGAGAGAGAGAGAGAGAGAGACAGGGAGGGAGAGAAAGAGAGAGAGAGAGAGAGAGAGAGAGAGAGAAAGAAAGAGAGAGAAAGAAAGAGTGAGAGAGAGAGAGAGGAGTGCATTTGCATTAGAAGGCTGCGTCGGGCAGGGTAACCCACTTGTAGACTGAGCCCCTGGCTTTCAATCGGACGGGAGTTGTTGCTGGGTCCGGTGGTGAAATGAGTTTGGGTGTGGGAGGTACTTGTACGACCTGCGCCGCAAGAAGAGGCTTCTGCCGCGACGCCAGGAAGCGGAGCCGGCCTCAGACAAGCATTTGCGGTCATGTTGCTATCGATGTCTCCGAGCATTGCAAGGCAGAGTGGGGCCTTGTGAGCCACACGGAGGTAAGCAAGTGGGCCACAGGAAGGCGGGATGCGATGATCATCTCGATCTCGCATGCATGGGAGACCCGCGAGCACCCGGATCCCTGCGGAGACCAGTTAAATAGGCTCGTCGACCGTTTGTGTCTGTACGATGCTGCCTACTATTCAGATATTTGGGTGTTCTACGATTACATCTCTCTTTTTCAGTTCGAGCGGCGCACATCCGCAGAAGAGGAGAGCTTCCGGCGGTCCATGAATCATATGCATGTGCTCTATGCTCATGACTACAGTTGGACCTTTCGCATAGAGGCTCTGACCCCACGTGATGTTTGGGACGCCACACTGGCCAACGCGGAGCATCTCGTGACGGTGTATGATGCTGCAAGCAAAACTGTTCGAGGCCGCCCCCTCAAGGAGCTTGTGCCCAACCGGGTCCCATATCAAAGTAGAGGTTGGTGCAAGGCAGAAGTGGAGTGGTCCTCTTGCAGGAGCAGGTCCGAACAAAACCGGCAAATCGATGCTCCTGACCCTGACAGTGGCTTTGAAAGTGACGTTTTGCAGGGCAAAGTCCCAATGGCTCCGGAGGTGTTCGAAGAAGGCATGGCAAAAGCCGAATTCACGCATCGCAACGATGCCGCAGCAGTGCTACAGCTGCAGCGGAAGATTTTCCACCAGAAAGTTTCGGAGTGCGAAGAGTTGCTGCTGGCAGACCTGCCGAAAGGCGAGTTGGGTCAGCTGGCCAAAGCTTTGATCCACTACAAGAAGCTCAGGGTCCTGCGCCTACGCAACATCGAGGTGGGAGAGGAGGAGGCCAAGGAGTTCGCAAAGGCTCGGGCCTCATTCCGCCGGTACCTGTAGAGAGTTAGCTGCCGTGGAAGAAGCCGGTCGCAGGCCCTCACGCTGAACACAACGACAACAGAGCTGGAAATACAGGTCTCCCATTCCGCTCAAGCTGAGTGCAAGGCACTCTGGAAGGCACGGTCGTCTACAGCCACCCTTGACTCGACTCTGAAACTGATGTGAGACACTTGAGTCCTTTCCTTCCGATTCGCCAGGCGTTGGCGGACATGTTAAAAGCCAATGCCACCGTCAGCACACTCAACCTGGGCTTTAATGGCATCGGGGCCGAGAGCCTCGAGGACTGCATCTGCGCAATGCAATTGCTGCTTGTGAACTTTTGAAATTTCCGGCATTGAGCCCGGTCCGGTTATCCCTGTGAGGCCCTAGCAGCTGCAGTGGCGACCAACGGTACCCTCACCACCATCGACCTCAGAGGTAACGACATTGGTAGCGAGGGCTGCAAGGCCCACACTGCTCCAAGGACTTTGGAGCATGACCGCGGTCCTTTCATGTCCTTTCCCTGCGAGGCCCTTGGACAAGCATTGAAGACCAATGACACTCTCACTACCATCGACCTCCGACAGAACATCATCTTGGCCGGTGGCCTCAAGGCTGCGCAGTCCCAACGGAGCCTTTGCAGCCTGTGTGCTCTGTCCTTTCCTTGCTAGGCCATAGCAGAGGCATTGACCACCAACCGCGCCCTCACCACTATCAACCTTGACTACAATGGCAGCGGCCACGAGTTTCTTTGGGCCCGGGGCCCTGCGGAGAGGTCGGAGATTCTGCATCTTGGTTATCGTCTTTCCTGCCAGGAGATTCAAGAGACTCTCAAGACCAGGAAAGCATTCACAAAGCCCAACCTGGCAGCTACAATTGCTACACAGGCCCAGGGGATGGCATAAAGTGTTTGTACTCTTACTTACGGAACTGGGGCGTGACGGCATATACTGCCAAGCTTCGTGAAGAGCACTGTTGCCCAGGTATCAGGATTCCTGGCTTATCTTGGAGTTCAAGAATTTGGTCGGCCTCAGCAAGCCCAGGCCCATGCCTTGCTGTTGCCTATTGCCACGTGTTGTAAGCTTAGTTTGCTAATTTTTTCTACGTCGTGGAACCTCAGCTTGACACAAGAGAAGGCCGACTATATTTTGGGAAGCTTTTGAAGCGGCTTTCGTGTTATCCAAGACCCGGATTCGGCTGAATTACTCCGCAATTTCTGAACATACATATTAAAAATGGCAGAATGTTCATGGAAGCTTGCGGCCTCAGCAAGCTCTCAGAGCTGAGAGCCCATGTGCCATGTCGTCCTTGCCAATCTCCGAAACCACCACTCGCAGATGACCTCCACTTGCACGTTGCAGACTCAGCCGAGGCTTGGACGGGAAAAGTGCGTATCGAGGACTCTTGCCTTTCTGCAGAAAGTCACGGACGAGCTTGACTTGGGTTGACAGATCTCCACATGTCAGGCCCTCACATCACGACTGAAGAGCAATACTAGCAGCATCATCACCAGCCTGAAAATCGCCGATAGACAGATCGGGTTCGAGGACGTCAAGGCCTGTGCACCTCGAGACGATGTTGGAAATTGCAGACTTGGTCCCCTTTGCCTGTCAGGCGTTAGCGGATGGGTTGAAGACCAATCGCACCATCACCAGGATCGACCTCAGAAGGAATCACATCGGAGCCAGGGGCTGCGAGGCTCTGGCTGAGGTGTTTGTCACCAACGACACCATCGCCACCATCGACCTCGAAGGCAATGACATCCAAGACCAGGGCTGCAAGGCCTGTCGTGCCCAAACAAATTATAGAGCATGAGCCCTGTCCCCGCCGCGCGAGGCCCTTGCAGAAGCGTTAAAGTCCAACGCAGCCATCACCGCTATCGACCTCGAGGGCAATGGCATCACAGACCTTGGCCTCAAGGCCCTCAAAAGGATGCTGCATCTTGTAAAACCGATCCTCTTATCGTGCGAGTCCGTGCGAGGCACTTGCAGAAGCATTGAAGATCAATCGCACCATCACCAAGATCGATCTCAGTAGGAATCAGATCCGAAACCAGGGCTGCGAGGCACTGCCATGCGCAGATGGTCTTTGTTCAGATTGCATGTTGGGTCCTTTTTGCTGTGAGGCCCTTGCAGAAGCACTGAAGTCCAACGCTGCCATCGCCGATCTCAACCTTGGGAGAAATCGAATTGGAGACGATGGCATCAAGGCATGCCTTCCTCAAGGCTAAGAGGATTATCGTCATTTTGCATACGCGGCTCCAATCCTCTGAGGCCCTTGCGGAAGCTTGGAAGATCAATCGAACCACCATCAAGATCGATCTGTGGAACAATCCCTTCGGAGACGAGAGCCGGGAGGACTGCCTTCTTGCGGGAGGTCTTTGCAGTTCAAGCCCGGCCGCCTTGTCCCGACGAGGCCATGCGCGAGATGTCGACGAACTTTGACACGATCGACTTCGACAACAGGTGGATTATGGAAACCCGTCCTGAAGAGGCAAGGCTTGCAGTCTCCGCCACGTCTTTGCAGCTTGAGCCTGCGGCTTTGACATTTTCCCTGCGAGGACTACTGGCCAGGTTACTGGCCAGATGGCCCTCAAGGCTTGCAGGTTTAGGGTCATGTCCAGCCCGAAGAGTGTTAGACAGCATAGGATTCAAAGGCTGGCCCTGTAAACATAAATAGATACAAGTCATTGAGCCCCATGAAAGTGTCGGGCATCCCTGGGGTAGTAGTAGTAAAGCATCGTCGCCGTCATCGTTCTCATCATCAACAGCAGCAAGACATCACGATGAGCTTCATCACAGCACCCTACCTGCGGCACCACAAATCTCAAGGCTACTCGTCATGGAAAATCCTTGGATCCCCTCTTCGTCTCGTGGGGAGAGGCTCCCAAGTTCTCGAAACCAATCCTTCAAGCCTAACTTGCACTTTGGGGTTGAGCGTTGCAGGAGTGAGGCCTAGGGTGAAAGCATTCGGGGTTTAAGGCTCAGTTAAATGTTTCAGTTTTTAGGGTTGAGGATGTCGGGTACCTTTACATTGCTGGGTTCATGATTCGCCCCACGCGGTTCTTTACAGCCAAGCCCGAACGGAAGCGAACATCACAACTCAATGCTTTCGAAATTGCGACTGGCGACTGGCCAAAGCAAACATCTTAGAAGAGTCTGAAAATGTACAAGGCCAGTCCCCAACTGCCTGCACCCTACACAAAAACCTAGCTTTGACTGTTTTAGTGTTCGGGGCTCATCCACCCCAAACCCGTCTGCAGATGTAAACGTCAGACGCCCCCTTTCTCTTCGACCTGATAACGCCAAGAATCCTGCCAAAGGCTGGCCCGGCTAGCAAAATCTCAACCTGAAGACCAACAGCACAGAAATCGAATGGAACCCCCCGGAATGCTTACCTGAGCTTGTGCACACTCTGCCTTTAAAGCCCAATCCAGTTGGAAAGGATGATCAGTTTAGGGCATTAGGGTTAAGGCACGGGTTTCATACAGGAGCATCAAGAAAGCTCAACGGGTGTTGGATTCCCCTCCGCATCCGGTCGAGGCTTCCATGATTACAGCCTTTGACAGGCTGCTCGCCTTGCGTTCTGGCCTCAGCTCGCCTGTCACTGTCAAGTCGACTATGGCTTGACTACGGGAATAGTTTCGAGTTCAGGGTCGAGCATCAGATAGGTATACTAGAATACTAGAGGGTATCCCAAGAACACACACTCTAGTAGTTCAGGTTCCTGAACTTTGGGTTTCGACAGCCTCTCAGAGAAGTGTGGGTCGTCATCGCTTGTACCCAGATAAGTTTGCGGCCCAGCTGCCCAGCACCCGGAAATCTAAATTCAAGACCCAAATTCGGCACAAATCTGAAAGTCGAAAGAAACTTCATTCTCGGAAAGCTAGACGAATCGACACAGGCTTAAGAAGAGTCCTGCAGCATGACTCGCAGGGACATCCAGTACAGCTGCATGGCTGTAGTTGCAATGATCGTGTTGCTGTTCATCTTTGCTGCTTGCTGTCATCCTTCGCAAGCAAATCCTGATCTAACCTCAGAACTCTCAGTCCATTTTAGAACCCTATACGAGCCTATGAATTCTTTTCCGAGCCTATTTGCGTATATGCCTGAAGCCCGAAAGCCTCGAAGCTCCAGACCTGCGTCTGAGGTAGCTACGCTGCAGCACACCAGGCTTCGGGCTGCCTGGTCGAGTTGCAGCTGGTCGAGTTGCAATCAAGCTCGACTTGGATGTTCCATTAGGGTTCTGTTGTGTTATTTGGACTTTCGATAGACATTCAATAGACTTGGAATAGGGTTTCGGGTTCACTTTAGGGTCTGAGCATCCATTGCACTCCATCGATTTGGCCTGTTAACTCCGACCGCCCGCAAAATCCTTAACCTTGGAAGTTTCAACGCCATCCCCTAAACCTCAAGCATCCCTTGTAGCAGCTGTTGCCGAAAGGGCTGAGATTCACCATAACCCAATCCTAAACCCCACAGTAAAAGCCCTACGTAAAGCCTAAAACCCATCCTGCAGACCGGGGAATCCAAAAACGTTCACCGCATCGGAGGCCGATGAGATGTTTCTGTCAGCCTATGAGTTGCACTTCAGGGCACTCTGGTGCACTCTTCGCTTTGCGAGCTTCTGGTAGGCCTGAGAGTTTAGCAAAGCTCAGCATTTCGGGGTTTGCTTTTTGGATGTGGATGGATGGACGGATGAGTGCATGCACGGACGAAAAGGTCTCTACGTATGTTCACTATTCGCTAGGACAGACCCCAAGTCCCGAATCATAAAGCACGCTGCGTCAATATAAGTTATGCATAGCTAGATACCAGCAGATGTATCTCTGAATCGTTACAAAGGCATTCTGACATACATATATAATCGCATAATATACATGAAGTTAACACAGACACACGGAGGCCTGCAGAGGCACCAGGGCACCCCATACGGCCAAGTCACCCTCATCCGAGCGCCTGAAGGTGTAAGGCTCCATGTACCCATAGTGAACAACCTACAAAGGTTAGCACGCAAAAGACACGCCTTTTGCGTCCGGTGCCGTCGCCTCGATGGCTTCACAGATCTTACTCAAGGGCCCTTGTGCCGAAAGGGGCCGCCCGAGCGAAAGCTTTCCTTCAGACTGACATGTGCACTTTAGCCATACAGGCCTGAGTGACATGACAGCTTTCACACGCCCTCAAAGCTAGAGCATCAAGGGCGGCGACTTCAGAAAAAACTTCTACGCTCAGCCTTTCTTGAAGGTGCGAACCTCAGTAGGCTTCGGTGGAGCCTCCTGTGCCTTGAGGGCCGCAAGACGTTCATACGGCTTGAATCCCACGGCTCGCACAAAGGCCGTAAAGTCCGACACCTTGCCCGGGCGGGGAGCATCCTTGCCGAACTTGTTGATGCACCAGATGAGGTACTCGAGGGTCGGCACATGGTTATTGGCAAGGTCCAGCAGCTCACTGTAGCTGTAGTTCTCATTCTTGAACTTAGGGGCCTCGTAGACCACGCTGGACCACTTTTCCATGCTCTCGATCCCATCGGGAAGGGTTCCACTGGCAGGGCGAGCCGGCACGGGTACATGGATCTTCACGGGCATCGGCGGAGGAGGTCCGCGCGGAGGGCCACCTTCATCAGCTGACGACGCCATCCAGGAGTGAGACCTGAGAGGATCCCATTCTTCAGACTCGCTGCCAAAGAGATCGCGAGCCTCACTGCTGGAGGCGGCTGCCGAGTAGCCGCGCTTGGGCGAGTTGCCCACTTCCATCCATTCCGCGACTGGCGTCTCAGAACCAATCACACTGTTGCCCCAGGCGTTCACTGACTTCATGGCCTCCTGGATGTCCCGCTTGCAGCTGGAGCTCTCCGGGAGGCGGATCATGGCCATGACGTCGGGGACCTGTTGGTTCACGATGGCGCGGCGGAGCAGGTAGGCCAGGTACTCGCGGTCCTGGCGGAAGAGCGCATTCATCTCCTCGTTCTGCTTACGGGCCATGGTTGGCGCAGGGCAGTCTTGGACGCTAGCAACCTAACTTGAAGTCGCTCTGATCCCCGGAGCGACAGGTCAAACTCGTTATCAGCCCAACGGTCAGGGAGACCGATTACCTGGTTATGAGCCCAACTAGGATTGACGGCGGCTGTACATGCTACCAGGCGTGGCATACTAAGCAACTCAACAAAAAAAACTCATTCCACAAACATGGGAATCCCTGTGGTGCCTGGCACCAGTGACTGCGGACAGTCAGACCACGGTTCGGGGCCCTGCACACTACGGCTTCGGAAGGCCCTCAGCCTTCTCCTTTCTACCGGACTGCGTGCATGGTCGGATGCGGTAGCGACATGTTGCAAGGAGCTTATAAAGTGCATCGGGGCACCCCGCAACTTAGTCAACGGATCCGCAACCATCTGCAAGTTAACGGGACAATGTTTCTTTCCTGCAGGCTGGCGCGAGCAATCGCGTAGTCGATGGCAAGACGCTTCTCGATCGCTAGTGCAGTGGAGCAAGCTGACCGAGTCAGGGCATCATACAGGGACTTACTATCGATCACTAAACCGGAGGTTTCCTCGGGGGTCCAGGTTCGAAACTTCCTGGGGTTCATACCGTTGAGGCACTCCTGTATGAAAGCCTGGGCGAACTCGATACAGTCCAGGCCGTTCTGTGCTGCAAGAGTTTCCGCTGCTGTAGAACTACGGACCACACGCCTAAGTTTCTTAGACGCCCATTCAATCACCCAGCAGGCTCCTTCCTCTTGCCGCAACACCTTGCTCTCGCAGAGGCAAAGAATGAGTCCTCCTTGAGACTCACCGCTCTCACGCACTCCCCAGCCGGCGTCCGTAATCACTAGCAGCCTCCAGTCGGATGCGGGAACCCGGGGAAACCTCACGGTCACCTTCTGAGTCTTCATTTCTCTAAGGGCCTTATTATACATCGTCAGGTGGCGGCACTGTGCTTTATCCTGGACGCCTTGCAGGTATGAAGAAAGAAAGGCCTGGTCAGGCCGGCTGTGGCTAGCGACCCAAGCCAACTGTCCACAACAGGCGCGCATCACACTTGGATCCTCCAGATCTACGGTGGACTTTCCAGGCACTCGAACAAAGTCCATCTTTTCAATGTAGGCTTCCTGACTTAGCTCAATGCTAAAGTCCGCATTCTGACGGATTTCGGCACCTGTATACTTGATGGTCTTCGTACGAAACTCTCCGAACGGCAGTCTTTTCCGGAGCAGGGCAAGGCATGCATCCATCTCTGGGCCTCCACCGCCTATGAGATCATCTACATGCACACCACATATCCCGACAAGCTTATCTTCCTTATTTCGCAAGGCAAAGACACAGGGATCCAATGCTCTTCAGCTCATGGCTGAGACGGAGGAACCATGCCCGCGGTGCTTCGGCAAGGCCGTATGCCGCCTTCTCCAGTCGGAAGAGATCATCGCTGCTGAGTCCCATCATCTCTTTGATTTCGGGAGGAGGTCGAAAATGGATGTTCCTACATGATGCATCTCCCGACAAGAAAGCCGTCTTGATGTCGGCGCTCCAAAGAGTCCAGCCGAAGGCAGCACAGAGGCTCAAGATGATATGCTTGCTCTCCTTCCGGAGTGTCGGGCTGTCCGTTGCAATCCTACCCAAGTCAGGGTCTTGATACCCTACCAGAACCAGCCTAGCCTTAGGAACTACTTCTTTGTTGTCAGGATCGGCGCTAGTTTTCCAAGTAAGAACCCATCTACTTCCGATGATCCTCGACCTGTCTATCCCCTTAGCCTTCACTATCGAGGTCACTTTGTTCTCGAGCCACGACTGCCACTCCTTAGACATGGCCTGCTTGAAGCGTGCCTGGTCCTGTGTGCTCAACTTACGGAAGGATACTTCTACCCTATGCTTCTTCGCTGGTTTCGAACGGACCTCTGCACATTCAGCCAGGGCTGTCCACAAGCAAGACACATCTTCACCGATATCATCCTTGGTGATATCAAAGGAGACTTCGCAACACAAGGCCTCGGCAGGGGGCATGTCGGCGTCAGCCGGCTCTGCTGGCTCGGGCTGACCAACACTGCCCTCTGGGCTTGGACCGCCCTCTTCGTCAGGAGGGAGTGATGGAGAATAGGAGAGTTCAGACTCGACATCCATGTCTGGTACAGGTACATGTTCTGCTAGAGACTGTCCAGCAGGGCTACTGGGCATGTCAAGCCGTCGACTCTTTGCACGGTCGCCCTCTTGGGGAAGCTCCGGGTGGGAGCGAGTTACAGGCTCGGGACGGGGCGAAGGGAGCTGTGCCCCACGAGAGTCGTCGGCACGGCCAGCCCAGTAGGCAGGGCTATGCGTGATACGGCGGCGCACCGCCGGTGCAGGATTAGGAGACAAGTCCGGCGGCTCATGTTCAGGGAAGGCAACAGCTCATCAAAGTCTTCAGGACTAGGTGGAGCCTTGGTAAGGTCAACATAGTGGCCACCAGGGCCCATATACCGGCTGGGCACTTCAAGCTCGTCGGGCAAAACACCAGTGTGATACTGGCGGGCAAGCTGCCGAAAGGTCAGCTCGTCCTCGACAATGGGTCTGAGGCATTCGGGCGAACATTTGTACATTAGGCCGTTGATCACAACCCAGAGGACACGTGGCACAGGTGAATCACGACGGTAGCCTTCAGTACCTACGACCTTGCCCGGGCCGTGCCAGACCCCATGTCTGGTGGACAGGAGGCCACGAGCCCCACGCCGGAAAACATAAACACTCTGCCCTACAACATAAGGTCCACGGAGGGGCCGGTTTCTGCCCTTGATGGCCTTGCGCCATGTTTCGTGAGCGTGGGCCTCGATGAAGGCATGTGCTGCAAGCTGGCGGCACTGCATCTTGGCATGAAAGTCCGGTTCGGACAGCACTGCATCCTGTGTTGCAACATTGTCACGCTCTGTCGCATCAGCCAGGCTCGCTGGCACTCGAGGTTCTCTACCTAAGAACCATTGTGCACTAGAGAAACCATGACGCCGAAGATGCTCGTTACGGACCGAAGCACACATCTCTATGACTTCCTTAGCAGGGCGTGAGGTAGTACGCCATACCCTCTTAGCCATGTTACGCAGGGTGCGCTGTGCAATCTCCACTCGGCCGATTTGCCAATGGGATTCTGTAGCCGCACTCAGCTGGGTAATGGAGTTGTGGCGCAGGAAGTCTTGGAAGTCTTCGGAAATCCATCTTTGATCGGGGTCAACGTAGACTACCCTAGGAGGGCCGTACGGCCTGCGCACCACAGCTCATGGAAGGCCCGGGAAACGGTCCGCGGCCCTACTGGCAGAACATACTGCTGGGCAAAATCCGTAGCATAATCTACTGCCGTGAGCACGTTGAACTTAGTTTCGACAACCCCGTTAGGTGTATCCTTCTTCAGCTCAACCTGAACTATGTCCAGACCCACTATGTGGTTAGGGGTTTCGGTGTGGCTCAGCGCAGCAGTACGGTGCGATGGAGGAACCTGCAACTCTTCACAGACCGAACACTTGAACTCCTTTATTGCTTGGATCACCTCAGCTGACGCCTTTGCCCTATGTGCAAGACGAAGCATCTGTTCATTAGATGAGTGACCTGTGTTCACATGCAGTTTATGGATCATGGCTCGGTACTTGTTGCGAGTGGGCCCGCCACCTGACCTTCACCTGGCTCAGCATGGGAACCTGCTTCTGCCTGAACACTCTCCGAGGGGCCTAGGAGGTCTTCGTTTTCCGAGTCGGCTTCTGAATCTGTGTTCATGAAAACGTCATCCGTAGGATTGATTACCTTATCTCGTTGCTGCATAGTCCTAGCAACCAGCTTACAGAACTTCGTCGGATAGCTTTCTGCCCATGCGGTCAAGGGCTTCCCGCGATAGCTGCCCTCCAGATGTGCATGGCAGGCGTGGCCGGGACACCGGTACTCACGCAGGCAATTAGGTAGAGAGGATGTGTGGTGACGATACGGGTCGGCTTAAGGACAGGTTCCTGGGACTCCGGGTGCTTAAGGCCAACAGCACACATGTGGATATCAACCTCAAAGGCGGGGCCTAGGCTAAGCAATTGCCACGCATAAGAACCGGTGGGGTTCTCGCCGTGGGCGTGTCCGCCCTGCATGGTCTGGAGCTGCCAAGCTTGTTCAAACAGCCGAAGGAACACTGACTCCCGACTTCTACGTGATCGCACCTGTGTTGCACTAGAGTCGCTCTTGCTAAGGTTAAGCCTACCACCCGGACCAGCAACCACACGGCCAAGAGAACCAAACATCCTTAGGCTTGACTAAGGCGATCAGCAGAAGCAGCAGCCTACGATCTCGCGCTCTGAGCAGGTCCTGGCCCCAGTCCAGACCAATCCGGAGGCACGATCCGTCACGGATCCTCTCGCAATGGCGGGAAAGGTTAGCTGACCCAGCGAACACTTCTATCATAGCAACCTTATTCGGAGGACTATCTAAGATATCAGCCTGGGTCTTCAGCCATCCTTTCAGCTCGGTGCGCACTACTTCCGGCTGGCTGTGCAGGGTCGAGAGAAGCATTTGGAAGGGTGCTCGCCTAACTGCTTCCACCTGGTGTCCTATTCGGGACTTAGTCCTACTGCTAAGAGGATCCACCTCAAGACTAACCCAATCGGCTTCTTCATACAGTGTAGACAGGTCAGGGGATGTCGTACATGGTTGGGGTCCCTCTTCTAGGAACTCAGTCTCGCTCTCTGACACCTCTGCACAACAGTCGCACATCGGCATGCGCGGTTCACTCTCATCTATCTGCCTGGCTGCACCTGTGGCAACTGCTGTAGCTCCTCCTACCCAACCTAGGGCCAAAACTGATTTTGCTGGGGACTTGGGTAGGAGGATCTTCGCATCAGAGGATGTTTCTGCACATGTCGGGCACTGCTCGCCTCTGGCTCAGCTTCACTAACTACAGCTGCCTCTTCAACCTCTGACGCACCAGCAGCCTGTTGCTCAGCACACTGCCTGGCTTCCGGTGGGGCCTTCTCTCGGAAGGCGAAGATGCACGCGTGTCGCTCCTGTCGAAGGGCTGTCGGCGTTTGCCGGGAGAGCGTTCCTCCCACGCAGTGACAGTCACATTTCCCCTTTTGTCTAACTTAGCAACCGATCGATACATCGTCTTGGTGTGTCTCTGTGACGGAATGCGCTCAAACTTCGGTCGATATGCGCAGAATGCACTGTCTACCTTACACCCAAAGAGATTCCGAAGTTGCCCCTTTAGCTCGCTCGCATCGACCTGGCGATACCTGGTATTCTTCACGACCGTCTGAAAGCTACGCTTGATAGGTTCGGGAGGGGGTTTGCCAGGTAGGGAAATAACCTCAGAACGGCTTAGGGAACTGTCCACTGGCTGTCCGGGTGCCTCGGCTTGGTCCTGCGCCTCAGATCTGTCACCGCAGGCCAGCTGCGACTCAGGAGGCGTTTCCTCCGTATTCATCAAGACATCAGGTTGTCGAGCCGCGGCTTCAAAGTGACTCGGGATTACCTCAGGCACCAAGGGAAGCAACATGTGACCATTAGCTGCTTGTGCCAAGGGCTGCCGGATCATGCCATGCTTCTGGCTCGTCAAGGTCATGGACCCTAGATCCAGGGTCGGACTTTCCTGGAAAGCAATAAGGGAGCTTCTCCCGGGATCAGGTAGGTGGTCACCGTTCCCCATAACTTGCCTAGACAAATAGTCCATCGCAAGCCTTTGCTCGAAGTGGTGCTCGAAGTTGCACCGGAGGTAGGTCCAATGACTCGGGCCCTTGAACACCACGAGAGACAAGGAACTTGGTGAGGCGGTCGGCGGTGCGTTCGCCGACAACCGAAGAAGTACACCCTGTATCCAGAATGGCGTGGCCTTCCGGAATTGATGCCAGGAGGACCTCGACTTCACTGTCCGAGGCGGCATTCTCCAGGTCCAACATGTAGGCAAACTCGGTCAGGACCTGGCTCTGGAGCAAGTGCACATCCTCTCTCTTAGTCCGATGGTTATCTCGCTTCTTTCCATCTTGCTTGCCCTTGCGGTCATACCGGAAGGTGGGCTGCAGTTGCGCAGCACCGGCCACCGCGGTGGAGGAAGAGGCCTGGCCTTCTGGGGCCAGCGCCACCACTGGCATGTACGGCTGGCGGGTTTTGCGGATCTCCCGCACCTTTCGCCGTTGGTCGCGGTAGTTCTTGAAGTGCTTCTTCACCCCGTCCTTGGCCTTCTTCTGCGCCTCGTAGGCCGCCAGCAGCTCTTCCTGAACCTCTTCATCTTCAGTCTCCAGGTCGGCCTCCATGGCTTCCTCGCCCGAGGATTGCACGGAAGGTTCGGACATCGAAGGGCTTTCCGTAGTAGCCGCGAACACTCCTTCACGGCCGGGCTTCCCCGCCGGCCTCCGTCCATCCCGGTTGGTTTCTTGCCGGCGGTCCTCAAAGTCGCTGGCCCAGATAATGCGCTCCACGTCCTCGAACTTGGAGCTTCCGCCAGTGGCTCTCACCACCAAGGAGCGCTGCTCCCGAGACAGCCCATACTTCCGCGAAGAGGTGCCCCAGGACCACCGCCGGGAAGACCGGCTTCAGCTTGAGGTGCCCGACCTCCAAGAGCTCCAGGTCCTCCATCATCTTCCGCTGAGCCCGGTCCTCATCCGCCTTCTGCGTACCGCGGCTCCCTGCGGACGGTGGTCCGCCCTTCTTGGTCGGGGACTTGTCCCCCACGAAGCTTCCAACTGTCTTGGCAGCCGGTCGTTCATCGGCGGCCGTCTCCCGGTCAGCGGCTGCCGCGGAGGCAGCGGCCTGCCTGACATTCTCCTCGGTCATGCCGCCGCGGTCCATGCTGGAGATGTCCGACTCCGAGCTCCCCGACGTCTCCACCGGCTTGGTGGGGGCAGTCTTGCGGCGACGCCGCTTCGGGTCGCTCCTCTGTGCGGCCTTGTCCGCCGCGATCAGGGTCTCCAGTCTGCTCAAGGCCGTCTTAAACCTTGAGATGAAGGCCGTTGGCCCTTCATTCGGCCTCCGCTTCAGGCCGAAGAGGAACTCGTCGACACTCTCGTTCAGCTCCGTCTCCGGGAGGAAGCGGTAGTGAGAGTCGAGCGCCGCAAGCACCTTACTCCATCCATTCTCTGAACGAAGTTCACCCACACTCAGGTGCTCCGTAGCTCGCCAGGCTTCACCCGACAGCCGTGTCAGGATCTTCGGTCCTGCCAAACGGATCTGCTTAGGTTCCAGGCTGGCAACGCTGAGGAGGATCTTCCGCCGAAACTGGCGGTACTCCGAAGGAATCCCCGAAAAGGATAGATCACGAAGGAAATCTTCGCCTTTTCCTGCCATCTCCGTGGCAGCACACTTGCCTTCAGGCACCTGAAGACACACGTCCCTGAGCTCTTCCGAGCTCCGCTACCATGAACAACCTACAAAGCGTCCGGTGCCGTCGCCTCGATGGCTTCACAGATCTTACTCAAGGGCCCTTGTGCCGAAAGGGGCCGCCCGAGCGAAAGCTTTCCTTCAGACTGACATGTGCACTTTAGCCATACAAGCCTGAGTGACATGACAGCTTTCACACATAGAGTTCATCCTTAGGCCTTAAAATACCTCTATAGGGACCCCTGTAAGGCTTAAGTATCTACTATACAGGTACATGGAGCCTTTGGGAAGTCCCCGGCAGGCCTCGGAGCTCTCGAAAGCGGAGCAAAGCGAGGCTGAGGAGATGATCCGGCAGCTGCGAGCCGAAGGCTCAGGGCTTGCTGTTGGAAATGGGGCAATACCTGTAGTCTCCATTGTATATTTCCTTTTTGGGGTTACCTTGTAGGTTTCTAAATATGTAATTATGTATAATATGTATTTGGTTAAACCAGCAAAAAGGAACTACAATGGAGACTCTGGGTAGGGTTGTGTTGCAGTCGCATAACGAAGTTGTTTTTTCCTCTGAAGGGTTTTAGGGTGACGTTACAGTTTTGATAGAGTTTTCGGGTAGCTACTGGGGTTGAGATTTTGCGTCCGATTTGGGGTGGCTTACAGTTGTTGGCTTGCTGGTCTCATGTTCGGGCCCAGCTGCTTGCAGGATGATTTGTGTTTGGGCGCCACTGGCGCCCTCGGTAGAGGTTGGCATGCGCGTGCTTGGACCCTAAAGAACCCGCACTTTCGGGTGGTAGTCTTTAACCGCTGCTGATGCCATTGCTAAAGAGGGGCAGGTTACCATAGATGAAATCATGTATTTCTCTATATAGTAGCCAGGCTCTTGATTGTCACCTCCCATCCCCGCGCCTCCTTATGATCGCTTATGTGTTCTACCTGCAGGGTCCTGCGGGTTCAAGGCGCCGCACGGCACAAGCGTAACCGGAGAACCCGAAGCCCAGTCGTGTTGGTTAGTTTTTATAGGTCTTGTTATTTGGCATGTCTGTTTGTTTCAGCTTCACTTTTGGTATTGGAGGATCCCGAAACCCGATGAGGCTAATGGTTTGCAATAGGCTCCAAGTTTGCTTGGCCCAGCCAAGACACTGCTAAGCTAAACCTGAAGTACATCGTCCAAAGTCCGTTGACCCTTGCCGAATGCTCCTTAGGCGGACAATCGAGGAGCCTCTGGGGATGAGGTTGGGTGTGTCTAGCAGTCTAGCACACAAGACTTCGGCTTTAACTCCACATTTACTAGACTAGTGTAGCCATGCAGGAGAAGGGACGCGTTTCACCCTTGGATTCCACCAATCACGTGGAAGCCTGTGGAAATCGCAAAACAGAATGGCACCGGCGGTTCTATACTGAGGTCCTCTGCTGTAGAGGTTGTGCAACTGGGTCTCGATGCAAGGTATCTTGGTTTGTCAACTCGCGGGACAGCTTTCAGCCCTCAGATGGCTCTCAAGCCGACACTCACGATTGTGGGCGTTGAAGGTGCGGAAGGGGCTTTCGGGGTTTGGCGGTTCCTGCTTGGGGGGTTTTGTTTAGATCTAGAGTTCTTTGGGCGAGTCTTGGTCACAAAGGACGCCCTCTCACAGCAAGCTAATGCATTGTACCAGCCCTCCGTAAGAGTGCCGTGCAAGACCTCCACCGATGCTGCACTGCCTAGGTATCCGGAGCTTCTGTCTATGTCGGAGCATAGAAAAGTCGAAGCCAAAGCCAGAAAGCCATGCGATGGAGGACTAAGGCAAATCCCGGTGTAAAGAGCGAGATGAAGATTTCCCAAAACCCAAAGTTCAGGCCTGCGACGTTTGTTCTCGTGCGCAGCATCGGGCTTTAGTTCAATCCCGGTATCGGTTCACAAAGCCCGGAACAAAGGTTACTCCCCGAACCTATCCAGAGTTGCAGTGTTCAGTGGAGCCGGTTCGAGCAGTGGCCACAACAACATGTAGTAGTAACTTAGTAGTACTAGTTACCAGTAGAAGCATTAGAAGATCCGGTATCCGGTAGTAATGCTAGTATAGCTGAGACGGTAATGCTCGGTGAGCGGAACATCAGAGTGTAAGCATCCTAACAGCAATGCCGGAATTCCCATGTCGTAGTAAGAAGACCACCTTGCGGAATTGTTATTCCGGTCCCGTTTGGAGCAGCTCCAGCAGACAGCAGAGCTGAGTGCAGCATGACGCTGCAGCTGATCTTCAGTATCCGAGGCCGACCCGGTGCAACCGTATCCCCGATCGTTAGTGATGTGTTAGGGGTTCGGGTGTAGGCTTCCCTTTCCTTTGTGTTTTACATATATGGCCCGCAAATTTGGATTTCCTCCTGTTCTTGCCAAACAATCGTGTTCGGCAGCAGGCCTAAGCCTCGCGGAAAGTAGGAGAATATACAGTATGTAACATAGTATAACATAGTATCGTATAGCAACATAGATCATTTGACAAGGACTGTGGTTGTTATTTGTTCTCTGCTTTTCGATGCTTGCTTCTGCTCCTTTCGTTTTGTTTTTCTCATTCCTTTCGCTGTTTCTAGTCTGTCGCAGCTTGTTGGCGTGTTGGTCTTGGGTTTTCCCCTGACTAAACTTGTTCTTCGACAGACAGCACAAAGGCTAAGCTGTAAGGTTTTGCATGGAGTTCCAAACACCACACAGCAAACACGGAAAGGAAGCTGAAGCAAGTCGCGAACATCAGAGCGCAGGTAAAACCCGAGCAAGCCCCCCCTGCCCGGCCAGCTGAACCAAGACAGCGCTTGGCCAAATTTACGAGACAAAAAACGGAGCGCGACATACCTGTAGAAAAGTAAAGTCCTGGGAAGAAGAATGGCTGCTCCACATCTAGGAACAAACGGCTCGTCTTCCTGCACCTAAGGAAAGCAACAACTCCGCCCGTGTAGGGTTTGGGTGAATGACTTCGATGGCTCTGGATCAGCAAGATGTCGCTGTAGCCTTTTCAGAATTCAACTCCACAACCCCTAAGCCCCAAAAGCCCTAAACTTTCTGACCTACAAAAAGATCGCGTTCATGACTTCTGCCTTGCACAGTCCAAACTCTCAGACCAAGCTTGATTTTCGGAGTTTCACGAGTCATTGGCGGTCGCACGCCTGCAGTATACGTTGATATTCCCACATAATTCCAGTGGGAAAGACCGTAGACACGCTGTTCGAATTCGGTGTCTGCATCAGATCCATGCCGAGACTGTCAGCACTAGAGCGGCTTGCTTTGCAGAGTGTTCTTGCTGAGCTGCGGAGGCTTCAACCGCTTGACTGCTTTCGCGACAGGCGCTGTCTGAGATTTCGGTTTCCTCGAGCCCCCACTGCAAAATTCGGATAGCTTTCGCTATATCCTCTATCGTCCCTGGGCCTCAGGGGTAGACCTGGGGAGGGAGGGGCGTTGGAGCTTCAGATCATCTTTCTTTTGGATTTGGCAGTCTGGCGTTTAGAAACCATGGTAAATCAAGCTCAGCTTATGTTTCGACTCCTGTCTTCTTGAGGAGAGGTTAAGAAATTGGCTCAATACATGGAAGGGTTTTTCATTCTCGGGGTGCCATGATGTGCAACATGAAACCCTCTTGGCGTTGCAGGGGATGTGAAAAAGAACTGTATGCAAAGCAACAGCTCGAGTGCGCCACCCCTGCATACTCCTGGTTTCGCTGGACAACATGCAGTGAGCCCCAAGGTAAGTAGCATCTTCACGATATGTACTGAATCTTCTTCGTCACCAAAAATCCTTGCTTGTGTGGAACTCATTCTAGTTGTTCGAGTTGTGCAATTTTGCCTGCATCTCTTTCAGGTGCTGCTGGTGGCTTTGCGTTCACGAACCCTGATGTAGACAATGCCAGATGCCCAGTTTGTCCAGCTTTCGTAGTTGCTTTGTACTGGTTATGAGTTTTAGGATCTTTGGAATGTAGGTGTCCACTTTAGAAGTCTACAAAGTTCATGTAGAAGTCTGCAAAGTTCATGCTCTTGCAAGGAGAGTGTGGAGAGAGCGGACAGGGACTCATGACCATGCCCGGTCATCGATATAGCAAATGTTTTGCTGTTGTCGTGCAGACTGTCGGATCGAGCACGAGCCATTCTCGAGTCCTTCGCACCCATGGGAGAGGAGGTCGCAGCTCGAGCACACAGGGAGTGGCCACAGTTGAAGCAGTCGGTGGAGGAGTTCTTCACGGAAGTGGAAGCCGCCTGCTTGAGGGACAAGGCGGACTTAGAAGGCCTTCCCGCTGTCGCGAGCCAACAGGCTGAGGAGGCGCTTGCAGCAGAAGGCCTTCTCCTGACAGCCCAGGAAGCAGACCCTGACTCAAGCGACTTGCAGCCCCACAGCCTTGAGACTTTGAGCTCTTTCTGCGAGGAGCTGAAGGCTGCTGTGGAGCAAAATCCGCAATTCTTCGAGCAGCGGGGAGCAGAGCTGCATCGAGGTTTGGAGAACATCCTGGCGAATCACCCGCGGGGCTCCTACAACAGGGAGGATCTCTTTATCAAGGGTGCCATCACAGACCATGTCAGTAGTGTTTTCCGAAGGATACAGAGTGACAGCTCTAATCGTACCGTTCTCTATGCCGACTACAAGAAGGAGATCTCGAGGCTCACAGCCGAAATCCGTCGTGAGTCCGAGAGTCTCTCGGAAAATGCGCTGGTGCCGAAGCGTAGGGAACTGGAAGATCGCCGTGCCAGACAGTTCTACAAGCTCTACGAACAGCACCAGGAGCAAGAGAGGGCAGTAACGACGAAAAGTGAGGTGCCCTCCCTGCTGCGGACACATTCGGCAAGCTTCGAGCAGGCAGATACGAGGGACAGACAGCGTCTTGCGGAGTTGCAGAGCCAGCACAAGCTTCTTGCATCCGAATGCTTGGCCCTGCATTCGCGACAGCGAGATGCGTTGAACCACATCACGTCGCATTGCCTCGCTGAAGAACGGCAAGCCCAGCACAGCTGCCAGAACAAGCAGGACGAGTTGCAACAGGAACTTGAAAGCTTGAAGGCTCAGTTTGCCAGATGCCAGCACTTGCTGCAAGACATCCGACACCAGCGTCGCCATGCCCAACAGCATCGCCTGCATCGAGCGACAGTCTCGGAGCTCATGAATGTCGCTATGAGAAGTGTGGATGTGAAGAGGGTTCGACTTGAAAAGATGGCGGCTCGCTATGCTCAGGGCCAAGCAGTCCTCCAAGCATTCGCAACCTGGATGACCGATTCTTGGCTCCCTTCTCGATAGCTGTTAGGACCTGAACTCTTATACTTAGATGATGAGGCTTGAGTCCTAGCTCCTGGGAGGGTTCCGAAGTCAAGCCTAATTGCTAAACTCAATTAAGACTCTAAGCTTACCTTTGGCTAGTAGGGAATGGAGGAATGGGGTACAACTATAGCTACTACTACTACTACTACTACTACTACTACTACTACTACTACTACTACTACTACTACTACCATTCTTCCATTCCCTACTAACCAAAGGTAAGTAAGCCGTCCAAGGATTCCTACCGCTTCATGGAGACAACGCTCCTCGATCGCCAGCAGCGGCTGGCAGAGGAGCTGCCGGAGCAAAGGCGTAACTTCAACGCTTTGCTTCACTGCTTCTGGGCTGTTCTACTCGGATCTAAATTCAGCCCACGGGGGCAAACAGTGAAGTCCATGGTGGTCTCGAATTTGTCATTTACCGTAATCAGGCCGCAATACGGCACATAAGCATAAAGATTCCACCCAGGAAACGCGTAGCTGCCACTCTGTTGGGTATGGAATGATGAGCTGGAAACCTCTCGGGCTTTGCCACCAAAAGGATTTCGGAAGATCTTTTCGCGGTCACGGCGTTGACCCTCTAATTAAATATGAGTATGACTTTCTCTAGCCATCTAGCACCACAATTATCTCACAAAGTTTGTCGCTGCTCATTTTTGGTAGGCTACATAAGGATCTTACTAACTTTTATTCACGCGAGAACTGGACCGGACAAGCAGGTCACTCCTCGTCCGCGAGATCTTTTTGTGGAAATTCTTTTGTCTGCCCATTTTGCTTCCTACATAATGACAAGTTGAAACAATGCTCGTTCCCGGCAGTTTGGGGGGGGGGGGGGGTAAGTTGAGCTAACTTGAGGGACTGAGTTCTTCGGACAAGATCTAAGGCTTCGTCGAGGATTTGGGGAGGCGGAAGGCGGAGCAGAAGCAGGCCATGTCCCATCTTGACCGCAAGATGAAGCAGAAGTACAAAGATGCCGCCGCTGAAGAGAGGATGAAAGGAGGGGAACAGAAGGCGAGCAGCAAGAAGCGGAAGGCAGAGGAGCTTCAGAAGCAGATTGATGAATCGCAGAAGGAGATCGAATGGTTGGATGGGCAGCAGAAGAAGCTGAAGACTCTGCCTGAGCTTCGCGAAAAGACGACAGAGGACTCCCGCGGCTGGGCACGGGACATCCTGTACAACCGTCCCTTCGGCGTCCCATGGTCTACTCCAGCGGCACTGGAAGCCCCACAGCAACAGGCTTCCTGGTTTCCTTCCTTGGGAACTTCCTTGCAGAATTTCGTTGCAAGGCGCCTACGAGGAAAGCAGCCTCCCTCCGAGATCTCCGAGGTCAGGTCGTGGTGGTCAGAGACCACTGCCAATGAGCTTCCGATATCTGACCGGCCTTACAGAGCCCTGCTGCAACTGACAAACTGAGGAAGTGGTTGCAGGAGTAGGCACAAGCGACAGAGACCCGGTGCTTTCAGTACGGACTGCGATGCGAAGCAGTCAGTTTTGGTGTCCCCGTCAGCTGGCTGCCGGTTTGCACGGTAGTTTTATGCAAAGTATCGTGCCAAGCAAGAAAGCAAATCCTGTAAGCCTTGGTTGAGCTGGGACACATCCTCCTCTAAGCCCCAATGCAATGAATCTACGACACATCGAGTGCCTCTTGCAGTCGGCTGAATACTTCAAGCATGCTGCCACAGATGCAGCGAGCTGTTTTACATCAGGGTCGCGGCATGGTATGCCCACCTGATGGTCAAGCAGTTGTTCCTGGTAGGGCCGCGGTGTGGTACACCAGCCTACACGCCGAAATGCCGTTGCCACAGAAGTCCCACTCTGTTGCGCCATCTCTGCGGCAAAAGCTTCTCGACCTTGGCATCTTAGAGCCTTTGGGCTGGAAGCGGCCCGCAGCCTGCAGCTCATGTCGTGACCGGAGCTTATTATGCATCAAATTGTTTGCTCTCCGACTGAGGTGTACGACATCTTCCCCCTCTCCAAGCACAGGACTCAGCTATACGCAGAGCAAGAGCCGCAAGACCAAATCCTGCAACAGGGCTTCCAAGTTGGCCTGCGAAAACCTTCGCCAACCCGGCACTCACTGAAATGCTACTAGCTCATTATCTTGATGATCATAATATATGTTGCTACTCTTACATGTACACTTCAAGCCCGCTTCTGACGTGCTCACCATGAGCTCTCACAATGCGCATGCCTGAACCTTCAAGCCCAAAACACCCAAACCCTTCAGCCACAAAGCCCGAAAGCAGGCAGCCCTTAGCCTTAGACCCAAACCCCCGCGCCATAACCGATACTATTTTGGAGGTTCCTTATTATATTTGTAGTAGAATGGGCCAAACCCCATTCTAATTATCAAGGCCTAGTAGTCCTCATAGTCCCCGTTATCGGAACCCTATTCTAATTATTAAGGCCCTATATAAAGATGTGCACTGCCAAAGAAGTTGAGACCGAGGCCCCCTCCGTTTGCCTTCCTGAACCTGCGCGGCCCCTAGTTTAGGGTTCATGTCGTGGTTTGGGATTTAGGCTTAGGGCTTTCAGTTGGCATTGTTGCAAGGATACTATGCTCGGCTTTTTCTCTGGCTCTGTTTTTCTGTCTCTTCTCTCTGTGTCTCTGTCTGTCTGTCGCCGTCTCTCTGCTACTGTCTGTTCGTCTCGGTCTGTTTGTCTGTTCTGTTCTGTTTGTTCAGTCTCTCTGTCTCTCTGTCCGTCTCTCTCCGTCTCTATCTGTCTGTCCGTCTCTGCCCGTCTATGTGCGCCTGTGTCTGTCTGATCCATGCATACATGCATACATGCATGCATATGTGCGGATGCGCGTGTGTCGGTCTGTCGGTCCGTCCGTCGATCTGTGTGTCTGTCCGTCCGTTGGTCTGGATGTATGTATATCTGTATTCTGTATGTATGCCTACCTGCATACATACGTGTATGTGTGTACACATATATGTAGAGGTACATGCATGTGCCATACTGATGGTTGTTCATGATTCGCACTGTTTCAGTATGTAGTTATATACATAAGCACGCACGCTCATGTGTATGTACATACTTGAGACTGTATCCAGCATCATTCTTTGGATCATGTAACCCTAAGCCCTAAGCCTAAGTCCGTCGTTCAAAAAAAAGCCTAAGACCGCGTGGTGTCATTCCGCAGTCCTATAGAGCTTTGTGCTTTTCCCAAAAGCTCTGAGGCGCCCAGAGCCAAGAATCGTGTGTGGTGGTGGAGTGTTTAATAACCATAATACAGGTAGAGCGATAGCGAGAGCGATAAGTGGAGGTCAACAAACTAGGTTTTGTGGGTCGAGGTCCAGTTTGTGTTTCCGCACGATCAGTTTGCAGTTAGCTCGGTAGAGGCTGCTGCGATGTCCGTGCCCAAACCGCTTGTGTATTACTCCTAGCTTGTCTATCGTACATTTGCTCATGTCTTTAAGGAACCGAAACCAGCTGCTTCATGCCATTCTCTTGTCCAGTTGTCTTGACGTACTAATGTTGTACTTACAAGAAACGAGAGCCCAACTCTGAGACACGGAAATTTTGCGGTGTTACTTGTCTTTGTATTTTTGTTTACACATGGCCGTGCCGAGGACATGCAAACACATCAATCAAGCACATTCTCGTAAGTTTCCAATAGTCCAAAGATTGAACTCGTGGGGATCTCCTGTTTAAAGCGCTTTGGCGCGAGTGTCTGATCTTCACAAGTAAACCTCAGCGTCTGCATGCGGGAGTTCCATCCAGAGCCGCTTCGTAGAGCAACAGTGGAGAGACAGACAGAACGAAGAGAGACAGAACGAACTGGTAATCCCTATGTGGTTGCATCTGTGTCTACAATGTGTCGGTACACGTGCACACACTGACATAGCGTTTTGTTCTGTTGAACCACGAAGGGAGTACATAATGTAAGCCTGCCTTTTGAGCGCCATGCCTTCCAAATATCGAGTTAGAAGGCAGTTTTGGGCGGCTTATATAGCCCGCGGCACATTAGTTCGTAGGCACTCCTTCGAGCAAAGCAGCAGGAAAGCCTCATAAACCTTCCCTGAAGCTCGACTCGCACAGCGATTCGACAACGGGGTCGCTGCAATCTGAGGTACAAGGTCAAAGAGGAGCACAAGCACCAATTCGAGCAGGATTGGAAGGCTCGTGGGCGATGAGATGTGAGGATTGGGCAGTTAAGGTTTGAGTCTAGGGTTCAGCGGGCTAAGGGGTTTGGGGCTTACCGCCAAATGCTCTGTACAAGAGGGAAAGGGGCATCGCGACGACGACAACAGAGACGGCAATGGCAACAACAAAAGACGTATTATACTAGAAATATAATAAGGGGCCCCAACCTTGTAATCATTGGTAATTATGAAGGCCCTTATATGATCATGTGGGAGCGGTGACAGTGGCAGCACCAGGAACTCTGCAACCAAGTATGGGGAGGGCTGGAGCCCTCGACTGAATCTGCATGTGTGAGCCCTTTGGGACCGGTGGCACCCTTGTTTAGCAATGAGCGGTCACTCATGCTTGGGAACGTGGTAGAGGTTTCGGACAGATTCCGGTCTCTGCCTGTTTGCGGTTTTCGACTTGTGAATTCTGGGCTCATGGGGCGAGGGGCTCGCTTCGTGTACTTTTGCAGTGATCTGGGCCTGCTTCGTGGCGGGGGTGAGGCAAAAGTTTGAGTAAGCTTGACCCAGGATCGAATATGGACCACGAATTAGAAGACCTCGATGCTGCTCGAAGCACGACCCTGAAACCCGAAAAACTCTGAGCACCCAACCCCTTTAAACCCAAACCTCTTGACTAGACCGCAAAAGCTAAAAAAAACCCTGTAGGGTTAATGTAGGGGCCTTAATGATTGAATAGGGTTCTGGGGGTTCCTTAGTATCAATGTAGTGCAATACACCCCCAAACCCTATTTAGTAAGGCCCCCTACACTAAATCCTTGTAATAGCCCATCTAGTAGTCCTTATAGTCCCCTTTAAAAGGAACCCTACTCTGATTGTTAAGGCCCTGAAACTTGTTTAGTAAGGCTCCTATATATTCTACTATAAGTATAATAATAAGGAACTCCCAAAACCCTATTCTACTTATTAAGGCCCCTGTGACTACCCATACATTAGCGTAAGGTGCGCCTTGCTACAGGAGGTCGCGAAGTTCAACCAGCGGCAGGAAGGATACCTCTTCACCAAGCTCCGTGCCTTAAGGATTTCACTCTGAACCCCTCAACCCACCAAGATCCGTGTCTTACGGGTTTCAGTCTGAACCCCTAAACCCACCAAGATCCGTGTCTTACGGGTTTCAGTCTGAACCCCTAAACCCACCAAGCTCCGTGTCATAAGGGTTTCAGTTCAGAGGTTAGGTTCAGGGTGCAAGGCCCTTGGCCTGTTAGCTAGTTGAATGGCTCCTTGATGAAGTTGAAGGGCTCTTGTCGGGTTTATTGTAAGCCATGGATCCAAAGCTGCTTCCGACCGTATCTCAGCCTTTCAGGAGATAGAAGCAGAGCAAGAGCAACGACTACTCCATTGATACTTTAGTAGGCCTTTGAACTTATTCAGGTAATACAGCATACGATCACCGACAGTTAGCTCCAGGAAAGAATCGCAAGATGCCATTGCAGAACCTATAAGCCCAGCAGTCCAGAACTCCCAAATCCTGACCGCCAAAAGTCACAACAAGTCCCAAGACCTTATCAGCACTGAGACAAGGTTCCTCAAGGCCGACCCACGCCAAGTGCTCAGAGAGAAAGTCCCACCGGTTCGATTTGGCAGTTTAGGCTTTCTGGTTTGGGGTATTATGGGGGCTCAAATAATTACCTGTACCATTTGGGGGGCTCCTTGTTACAGGTATAGTATCATGTACCCCTCAAACCTTATTCTAGTTAGTAAGGCCCCTACTTTAGCTTAACGTAATCGATATCTCTCCTGGCCCAGCTCAGGTGCCGAGGGCTATGAAAATCGAGAGTGGCCTGGGCAGGTTTGCATGTTGCTCCTTCGTCGGTTCGTACCCTAAACATCTCCTAGGTAGGGCTTTGGGACATGTTATATTTGCTCTTATTGGGCTTAAGAGGATCTTACCTACTAATATTTTTCAAAGGCTTTGAAAGCACCTCCTGGTCTCATATCCCTTGAGAAGCCTTCAGGCCTCACAAGGTCCTGCGAGGGATCATGATCATCTTAGCTGAGCAGCTACTTTCTGCGGACTCCAACCGGGTTTATGGTTTTGATACTCGGCCCCCTACTGTTGGGAGCAGTGATGTGGAAGTTCCAAAGACGGCGACCAAAGGAAAGGTTGCCGTAGCCCGCTGCAGCACCGAACGAACACGGATTGTCCACGAAGAATCTCTCGCACCTACACCATCTACCTCGCACTCGCGTTTGCGTGGTTTAGCGTCGACCTAGTAGCTTACTCAAAGCCCAGAGAGAAGAACACACGGCCAGCTATGACTACATCGACATCGTGCAGTGGACCACCGGCGATGCACAGCGCCGTGCTTGCTTGAGGTGCGATCGTAAACCACGGAGGTTGCTCGGAAGCCTTGAAAGATTTGGAGCTGCGCATGTCAGATTTGACGCACTATGGGGTAGGGCAGATGGCAGATGGCATGTAAGCGTGGAAGCAGGGTAGACCGAAGAGTGCTATGAGTTGGTATCTTGAAGGTTAAACGGCGTATGCGGATTGTTTTTCGAATAGTAACAGCTTATGGCACCTCAGGAAAGAACAGCAACACCGTCAGCAGCAGAGACAATGGCTGGTCCATTGCTGAAGACATCCTTCAACTTGTAGTTTAAAGAGGCGGCCATAAGAGTTAACAGTGTAGCATGCAGAGCTTGTGCGTCAATCGTTGCAGCAGCAGCCAGCGCAGTAACCGAAGCACAAACATAGCCCCACGGGATTATGGGTGTTGACCTGGGGCGATTTTGTATATGCCACAGGAAGTGGTTGAAGAAAGTTTTGAAGTGCATCATGTTTGCACAAAGGGTGCAGCCTGCCCTAATCTAAGTGGTAGATCCTAAACCCCAGACCCCAAATCCGAAAGGGCCCCACCCAAGGGCCCTAAACCCTCAGCCTTAAATCTTCATAGTGCCAGCCCTGAGATTCAATGATTATCCTGATCCAGGACTGTTTACCAAGAGCTTGAGGCCAAGCTGCCGTGCGCCCAGTTAAATTCTCTTTCTTCGACTGGTGGCAGAGTTGCATAGGGTGTGGGGTTGTTGGAGGCTTGGGGTTTGGCCCAAGATTTTGTTGTTGTTTGCAGTTGGTGGCGGCGACCGTGGTGGTGTTGTTGTTGGTATTTTTGTTGGTGTTGTTGTTGTTGCTGCTGCTGCTGCTGCTGTTGCTGGTGCTCCTGCTACCGCTGCAGCTGCTGCTACGGCTACAGCTTACGGCTACAGCTCATGCTGCCACGGCTACGGCTGCTTCAACAACATCGCAACACTTCCAGTAACATTCGCCAGAGCAGTTGAGAAGCACAAGATAAGAGTGGATCGGCTCAAGGTAACACTGACTGTAACAACTGTAACAACAGTAAAGACCGAAAGCTCGCCATCCAGTTTTGGATGTTTTCGGACTTTTGTTTTTTTCTGTTGTGCAAGTGTGCCCTGACTCGAAATCCTAAGCCGAAAGACCGGCGATCAACGAAATAGCACGTAAATCCTGCGGAAGCATTGCAAATGCTCTGCAGGTGCCAGGTGTTCCATTTTCAACATCTTCTGGTATCAGAAAGCACGGATAGCATCTGATAGCATCCTGCGCCTCAGCTCGCCAAAGGCAGGCCGAGCGGCTTCCGCAGCGGCCTCAGCATTAAGTTGTTGACGAAATCGGTCGGGACTCGACAGCTTGCACCTTCCCGTTCTTAAGCCCCCATAAGGCTGATATATAAAGCTGACACTATGTGCCCAAAACGGTCGCAACAATCCCGCCAAAACAAATCGCAACTTGGGTTTCGGTTTGGGTGCTTGTAAGTCGTCGGGTTTTAGGCGCAGGGGTCAGGGTGTTGAGGCGAGTATTCGTGAACACACAAAGGCAAAGGTAGCGCTGGTACGATCTACAACTATGAGATAGAATACGTTAAACACTTTAGTTTAATTTGTGATGGTCTGAGCAAGAGCGCGAGTTTCATGATTCATCCATGCAGTTCGTTTGGCACATGAAGATGGTACTA